GCTGGTTTTTTAAGAACTATATATTCTTATTAATCATAATGTTTTCATTTTTTATTATATTAATAATATTATTTTCGCTTATTATTCTAATTATATAGCCAAAGTTCAAAAATATATAGATAATCTTAATTAGTAATACTATATAATTAGAAGAAACGAACTATAATAGTTCCTAAGTATTAAAATTATTCGAAATCGTTAAATAAAGAAGATTTGGCTCTCTTAACGTTTATAGTTATAAAAGATTTACTAATTTGTAGGTAATAAATGAATTATAATAATCCTTATATTAAACGTCGAATTCGTCCCCTTTTAGGGTAGATGTAAAAAGCCCGAGGCGTTACAATTAAATTGGACTTTAATATAATAATAGTAATCAATTCATTAATAATCCGAATAAAATCCCGATTTAACTCCCGTACAAGTTGGGTTAAACTAATATATATAGTAGCCGCAAGTCGTTCCTAACTTACTCGATTAAAAATAGGCAAGCCTACCTTAACTTAGATAAGGTCGGGTTATAATAACTATATAAACCTACTTCGACTTAATTTATATTAAGTCGGGCGAGAGGTAAATCTATTTTAAATTAACTTTGGGCTCTTATAATACCCTCCAAATTAAATTTCATCGTTTCAATATAGAATTTAAATGCTATATATATAAAAAGAGGAAAAATTTTATTATATTACCCTCCTTCCGATCTATTTACTTAGGGGTAGTATTAGATTTAAATATTTTTAATTCTTTTATTATTACAGTAAGCTTTATAGATATAATAGAATAAATCGAGTTTGGTTAAGATTTAGGATTTATTTAAGCGGAAACGATTATTTATTATTTTCTTTTAGGAATTAATATTAATTTTAATATTAGAACGTTAACGGACGGTAAATTAGGTAATTTATTAAGTTTTTATTACGTTATAGAAGAATTTGTAGAGGTTTAGGATTAAATATTCTTTTTTATTTATTATAATAGTATTAGATTAGACCGATTTGAAAAATAGTAAGACGGATTTAAAATAGGTATTACTTTTATATTAATAATATTTTTATCCTTTATATTTAAATTTTAGTATATCCGGATAGAAGTATCTGACGTTTTTAGATTGTTAATTACAAAAATTGCTGTTTGGGCCGTCGGTGTTAGAAATATTTTATAAAATTGTAGTTAAATCTATAATTAATTTTTCTATCCGTTTATTATTATTTTTTAAAGAGATTTTAATAATAGTAATTAGGATTTCTATAATTGTAATTATATTATTTAAATTGAATTTCGGTAGCGGGGCTGAATTAATAATTTTATTTCTTTAATTATAATTATAATGGCCTTATTAATTATAGTTTGTAAAAAATTTTATTAATATTTGAAACGTTTTCGAAAAAGGTTTTAAATTGAAGGCGGTAGTATAAAATTTAGTATTTTTATTTCTTTTGTAATTTATTCCCTAACAGGAGGTAAATTTAATATGTTAATTATAATTTTAGGAATTTAAAGTAGTAGGGATATTAGAACGGGCGTAATTGGTAATTTTATTAGAGATAGCCTTTATTAATTTATTCCCGAAAATAAAAAAGGAAGAATTTAAATTAGTTTAGAAATTTAGGGAAGGGGTTTACTAAGAGAATTTATAAAATATATTTAATATTTACTAAGAGTAGGTTTAATTATTCTTATTCATAAATTTTAATTAAATACGGTTAGAATTGTTTTTTAAGTTCGGGCGTTATTACCTTTAAATTGAATTTAATTTACGGAGGTTAAATTTTAATATTTCCAAATTGAAAAAAAAAGGTAATTTTAATTTTTAATTATATTTGTAAATAAAATATCGTTATTTCCTTATAATCGGCTAAAAAAATTATTATTAGAGTTCCAAATTAATTCTACTATCAGGGGTTAGTAACGAAATAAATTACTTAATTCGGTTAAAGTATCAAGTTATAAAGGAATTCTTTCTTCTTTTTGATTACCTTTACTTCCTATAAAACTAAAACTTTTAATTAGAATTAAATATTTTTAATTCTAAATTACTAACTATAAGTTTGCAACTTCTTCTATATTTAATTTATTAAATTATATTGGAAATTAATATAGGATTTAAGTAGCGCGATTTATTTTAGAGCCGACTTATTTATAAAATGAATATAAATTAATTTCCGAAAGTCTAATTTAGTAATAAAACGATAAGAACGTTATTACTTTTATGTAAATTAAATTTACTTAAAGTAAATATATTCAATATATTTATAATATTATTCCCTATATATAAAATTAAGGTAGAGGCTTATTTATATTATTCTCGTTTCTTAATTAATAGATTTTAAAATAGTAAGAAGGTATAGGTGCTTCATAGTAATTCGGGTATATATTACATTTTAATATTAAATTAAAATAACGATTGAATAGAATTTTCTATATTTTATTAAATGTTTATTAATAAAAATAGGTTAAACTCTATATTACGTAATAGCGGATTTATATCTTCTGAACTTTATAATTTAATTTCTTAGAATAGGATTTTAGATTTCAGGAATTTAATTTTGGATTAACTAGAATTAACCCTCTCTACTTTAGGTCGGGCTTTAAATTTTTAAAATTTAATAGCGGATTAATTAAAATTAGCTCTTTCTAGCTCGGGCTGGGCTTTAAACTTCTAAGATTTAATAGCAAATTAATTAGAATTAGTCCTTTTTAATTCGGGTCGGGCTTTAAATTTTAAGGAGTTAATATTAATAGAGGACGAAAATCCCTACTTCTCCCTCGAAAGGGTTTTAAATTTTGAATATTTATATTTGGCCTTATAAAATTTCAATTCCGTATAGGGGTCGGCTTTATTAGATTCGCGTTTAATAAATTCGGTTTAATTAGAAATAGTTTTATTATTCCGAGTAGAATAATTTTCGAATTCGGGCTCGTTTTTAATTTAAATAAATTCGAATATTTATAAAAGGTAATCGGTAGGGTAACTTAACGTAATTTATAATTTATCGTAATTATAGCCAGTTTAATCTTCGGACTTTAATTTATTTTTGGATTTATCAAAAAACTTATTTTAATTTTCAATTTAATTAAAAAATTTATTTACCGGGGGTACCTATTCGACCGATTGTACATTATATTTTTATATATATTTAATTATAATCTTAAATAAACTTTTAGGGATATAGAAGTCGAGAGACTAAAATCGGGGAAAAGCGGGTAATATAGCGTTTCGAAATTATTTCATTATTTTTATTTTAATTATTATATTTAATTAATTATTAGTAATAATAGATAAAAATCCTATTAGGGTTTAAAACTATCGTTTATTATTATTTAATATTGTTCAATACTATTTCGCGTTTAAATTCGCGTATAAATAGTTAAATATATAACATAAGTTGCGTTAGACCGCGTAATTAGATAAATCGAATATAATTAAAGGTAGATTCGATAAAATGTTAAAGGTATAATTAGTTAGTAATATAGGTACGAGGCCGGGCTATTTTATAGTAGGTTAGCGATTTATATATAAAAATAAAAATAAAAATTGTATAGTATAATTAATGAGTTTAAGCCTATTAATTGGGTATTATTTATAAAAAGCCCGAAGCGTTATAATTAAACTGGACTTTAATATAATAATAGTAATTAATTTATTAATAATCCGAATAAGATCCCAACTTAATTCCTATATAAGTCGAATTGAGCTAATATATATAGTAGCTGTAAATCGTCCCTAATTTGCTCGATTAAAGATAGGCGAGCCTACTTTAATTTAGATAGGATCGGGTTATAATAGTTATACGAGCTTGCTTCGACTTAATTTATATTAAGTCGGGCGAGAGGCAAGTTTGCCTCAAGCTAATTTTGGCTTCTTATAGTAGAGCCTCCCCTTATTTAATTTATTTCTATTAAATTAAAATAGGATTAGTATTTTATACCGCCGTTATTATTCGATTAAACATTGCCTTTATTACAAACTATTTTTCTAAATATAATTATAACCCTAATTTAAATTATTATAAAATTATAAATAAAGTACTTTATTACTTCTACGCAACCATTAATATAGCGCTCTATTTTAAAAGAAATAATATTCTTCATATGATTTTAAATTCGTTATTTGCCGATAACTTTATAAATAGAAAGAGCTTATAAAGTTTTACCATTAAATCGTTTAGCGATTTAATCTATTAGGGCGCTACTAAATAGGTTACTATAATTACTTCTACAATAAAAATAGAATTTTTCGTAATAATTAATATAGTAAAGGAAGTTATCTTTATGATGAGGCTAATTATAAATCTTATTATAAGGCTAGTTAATCCTATCTCTACGCTTAATTATAATAATTAATAGATAATTAGAGCGTTAATTATAAAGGCTATTAAATTGGTAATTAAGTTTAAATATATAAATATTTATAAATATTAGGTAAAATAGGAGGTTTTACTAAGAGAATTAAAATTAAGTACCTATAGACTATAAAAATGCTTGTAGATAGGTTAACGAACGTATTAGATATAGAGAAATATAAGGAGTTTATAAGGCTATTAGGAATAGATTTAGTGAAGGATAAGGAATTAAGGAATAGGGAGAACGTAATATAGTATATTGAGTTGGATGAAATTAACAAGGAAATTAATCCTAGGATAGTTATGTGGATAGTTTCTTTTCTTAGGCAGTTTCGTTTTTATAAGACTTTAATTGGAGAGGTATATTAATTTAGAGGGTTAAATCCAGCTAGTAAGGAGAGGGTTTTGAAAGAGGATTAGCTTCCTAACCTCCCTAAATGGTTACAAACCCTCTTAATATTCTAGGAGCCCCCAATTCTGGTTCCACAACACTCTTCCTAGATATACATACAATATAGAGGTTTACCCATTTTTATCGTTGAATCAATCTACTTAGCCGTGCTTTCTGACAGGACCCGGAAGCCAAAGCCTGCTGTGGGGGTCAACTGAACGGGAACGGCACGGATACTGTGGTCTGTGCGTCCCCGCCGTGATTCGGCAGGCAGCTTCCACTGGCACTCGGCTTCCAACCGCGAAGCTCTGTCGCCTTGACCAAGCTGCATGGCTTCTTACAACGCAAACAACCACGACAGAAACGATACTTTGCCAGGCCACACTTATTCAGCATATTTGAAGTCATTATACGGACAATGGATTCTCCTCTCAACCTACGGCCACGGCCGCCAAACAGTAGAGGGCCCCAAACAATCGCCGACTTCATCCGACGCGTCAACGCAGAGCCCGGCGGTTTTCGAGCTCTCAACGAAGAGGAAGTGCGCAGGAACGTCATTGCCGAGCGCAATGGGATTCACGAAGATGTCGAAATGGTTACCGATCAGGAGGCCGACGACGACTCCAAGAAACCCGATATCATTGCTGCTCGCCACAACATCGTCATGAACCTCGGCCAGGCCATCCAGATGTCCTCGAATTTCCTCGACTTTATCTCGCTCCTTCTCTCCAAAGAAATCCCCACTCAAGCCGCCGTCTCTATTTCGCCATGGCTACGAAGTCAAGTTCCGATCGGATCCATCGGCGCCACCCAGCTCGACGCGCCGACTCCTCTGACCCAGAGTAGAGTGGCCGACAACAAGCTGATCACCATCGGCAAGCGACTGGTCGCCCTCAACGAGGCAGCTGATACTGCTCTTGCCGCTGCGAACAGGCTTCGCCAAGAGATCAACTCCGAGACAAAATACTGGCAGGAAGTCTTGACCGTTAGCCAAAAGGGCTGGTCAACCGCCCGCCTACCCCAAGAACCGCACGACATGGCCGTCAAGTTTGGCTTCTCCAATGCTGCGCCCATGTTCAAGAACAACAGCGTTGCGCCTCTGAAAAGGGCTGAGGATGGTTCGGTCCGCCTGGAATACGGGAGAATGGGTTCCAGATCTGAACGTCTCCAGGTCACCCTTCTGCACAACGGGGAGGTCATCGGAAGATCACCTCTTCCTCGGCCCCTACCCGACCATGCTCCGTTGGACGATCGCGTTAAAGAGGCACGGAATACCATATTTGCGCAAGAGCTATGGCACGAAATCAACCGGGAAGGTCGCACACTGCACGGTCACCATGTCCGCCTAGAACAGTCGGCTGTAACCTGCGCTCTTGATCCAAACCGGTCCATCTCCTTCGAGCTGGTGGGCTTGGAAGATCAAGATCCCTCCAGGGCACCTCTACCCGGTAATCTCGACGCCGAGACGGCCTCGATCACCCTCCACCTCCTTCTGAGCAATGCTCACAGGCAAAATCAGCTCAAGCGCTCTGAGCGGACCGCGCCCAACGCCGTGAGGGGTCCGCCGCCGCCCTACAACCTTCTCCTCCCCATCATCACCTACTACAGACACGAAAAGACACTGGAAGACTGCACCACCTTCCTAGCCGCCTTCTGCGCCGCTCTCCGCTCCGCAGGGATCCAATCCTCCTTCAGCATGACCGAAAGCATCAACAAGGGCTCCCCCACCGCTCCGCCCTCCGAGGCGCTCATGAACACCCTCCTCCACCCTTCCGAAGTCCAATTCGACTTGACCATCACGCCCGCCTCGCGCTTGCGCATCCTGGCCAAGCCATCCCCCGTTTTCGGCACCCGATTCTCCATCTACCTCCTCCATCCGCAGTCTAACCACCTCACCAGCTCGTTCCCGCCTAACCAGACCGACTCGGTCTACGAGAATATCAAGGAGCTGGTCCGCTATCTCAGTAATGCGGTGCCCCGCGCGCTGACCATGTATTATTACCCTCTTGTTCAGGAGATGCGTAACAGCGGGAATAAGGGCAACAACGGCGAAATCCCAACTCCTTCTGCTACTAATACTACAACCTGGATCATCCACCCAGATGACCTCGGTCTAGTCGACGACGATACCGAGACTTTCGGTGTCCGGTTTGCTTTTGTCTCGAACCACACCCGCGGCGATGCTGGAGGTGATGGGGTTGACGACGCAGCAGCAACAGAGCCAGAGCTGCGCGTCACCGGAGACTTCATGGAAGACGGCAAGCGCGTTCACAATGAATGGAAGTGGACTGCTTTGGGCGCCGGTGCCGGTCAGACTGGCGGCAGTCTAGATGACATCGTCAAGCACATCTTGGCAAATGGACCATCGTCGTCGTCGGTGTTGTCTGCTTAGGAAGCTCAAGATGAGACATACCCATTACCTTCCATATCTGGGACTTTGACTTTGACTTGGACTTGGATACGTGAGTGGTACAGCGGTTGGTTGCAAGCCTTTTTCGGTGAGGAGGATTGCCCGTTGGGTTTGATGGACAACGTCGAGGACCAAAGGCGGGAGTGGACGCGGATGTTGGACGCAAATGAAGCGTATTTTTTCTCGAAACTGTCTCTGAATGAGACTGAAGATTGAAGACTGAAGCACAAGAGAGAGGGCTAAGCTGGGTCTACAGCGGGGAGAAACGTACCCGTCTATCTAGATCGGTTAACGGCTTACGGTTATAGATACACATGCATACATAAATACTTTACCCCTTCCTTACATCTTTTGACAAATCATTATTTCGGCGTGCGGTACCGGACTGCGTAGCCGGAAAATATGGCAGTCTTCTTTCCATCGATGTGGTTTCAAAACGGTTTCTTCTTGTTTTCTTTCTGCCTCAGCCTAAAGTCCTAGTAGCAGCATGCTCATGTCATGGTTCCATGTCCGCGGAACAGCGAGTACCAGTCATCTCAACCAACTGAAGGGTTCTACAGCCAACTGACACCTCCAGGGTGGTACGGCCAAGTTCTGAAAATAACTCGCCACCCCCTTTCCCCCTTTGTTTACTTGATCGACTCTCGGGGTACAGCCTGTCATACTGTATCACGAACGACGACAAGGTTACAAATGATTACCTACGTGCGAGGTTCTGAACGGCAGCTCGTACAAATATGACTAGCCTGGAACAGAAAATGAAACGAAATACTAGGAGAGTCGTGGAAGCCACTGACAGTCCACAAAGATATGGGCACAAATTGATCATTAACGTCGTAAAGATTCGTGCGTGCTACCTTCAGGTATATGCTTTGTTGGTCTAAGAACAACACCACCCACTACACCCTCCTGCTCCCGCTCCTTCCGCTATGAAACGTACGTATAACCAACATTCTGAATGCGGGACTCATTGACATTCATCGCATGCATGAATTGTTCATCATCTTCATGCGTAATGTTTTTCTTTTTCGTCATAAGTCATAAGATCTACCATCCAAAATAACAACCAAACATGACATACATCGTGACATGACGTGAGGGGTAACATGATTAACCAAAAAGAACCATCCAAAACCAAACCAAGGGAAAAATAGTGTATAAGCAGAATAAGATGGTAATAGAATGAAAAGCAGTACCGTTTCATCCAACGCGCTTGGTATTACCTTCCCGTACATAACGTGCCAAGTCTATAGTCGAGTCGTAATCCGCATCAAAGGTGAGAGTTTAGCGGTACCTGCCCCCAACCGTGCTGTGCCTGTCATAGATGACCTCGTGCTCGACGATACGCTCGCGATCGTCGTCCCAGCGATCATCGCGCGAGCGATGGCGGCTGTGGCTCTGGTTGTTGTGGTGGTGATCGCGGAAATCGTAGTCATCGCGAGAGTACTCGCGCTCCCACTGAATCTCGCGAATGCGGTCCTTGCGAGCCTGGCGAATCTTGTCGGAAAGCTGAACGCAGCGAAGAACATCCTCCTGTTTACTGGGTTAGTGACTGGCCCAGAAAGTATGAGTTCAACTGGAAGGCAACTTACATAGCGCAGGTACTGCATGATATAGAAGAAGTACTCAGTTTCCTCGTAGTCATAACCAAGCTCCTCAATAGCCTCACGAGTGACGAGATCCTTGGTGATCTCGGTCCACATCTCGCTACGACGGGGGTTCTGCGAGCCGTGGATGCTGATGCGCTTGTCGGTAATCCTTTCGGTCACCCTCTCCCGGTCATCACCGCCCCGCTCGTTGTAGATCTGAATGCTGAGTCGGCTATCGCGGGCGTCACGGTCGCGCTCACGGTCATAGTCACGGTCAGACGCAGAGGACGCGGAAACGACACTCCTCTCATCACGCTCAGGGATGAACTGGGAGCGCCTAACTCCGCTGTACTTCTGCCATGTGACCTCGGCAGAGGCACCACCGGCACCATCCAACCGCACGCGCTCGGTTCCGGGAGGAACATCAATGATGGTCCAGTCCTTGGTGATACCGTTGTACGCCTCGCCCATCTGGCCCCTCGAGTCGATCTTGGACGTGATGTACCTAGCCTCATCGTCAAAGTCAATGTGGGGAGGAGCCTCCGAATGGGCACGACGGCCGCCACTGCGGGAAACGCTGCGGCGACGCTCGACGTCGACATGGAGGCGACCGGCATCGGCGTGGATCATGAGATCGTCATCATAAGCGTGTCTGGGCGAGCGGCGCTCCTGAGAGCGGCCACGGCTCTTAGAGGCGTGCCTGTGGATGTCAATTTCGGTGTCCTTGCGAGAGGTGTAGATGTCGATCTCGGTCTCGGAAAGTTGCGGCTGCTTGCGGCGAACTGGGGAGGCAGGCCGAGATGGTGGGCGCACGGAGATCATGCCTTGTATGTGTTAGTGTTCTGCAAGCTTGAATTCTGCAGTATGGGTTGGAGAAGTAACGTACCATGGTCGATATCGCGGTAGTGAGTGATGACTTCTCTCTCAATGACAGGTCCCTTGATGACCTGAGGCTGCTGAGGCTGAGGCGGCGGGCTGGGCTCACGCTCCTTCTCTCTCTCAACAATGCGAATGTGCTCACGGATGTTCCGGTCAGGCGAAGGGGAGCGAGGTCGCTGGCGTTCCCGCTGAGTTTCCCGAATCTCAAGCCTCTCCATGCGGGGAGGAGACGGGCTCCTCTGACGTTCGACAATACGGGTGCTTGCGCGAATCCTGTCAGCAGGAGGGCGGCTGGACTCGCGGACACGGTCGACGGTATGGATGTGAATGTCCGACTCCTCAGTGCGTCTCCGGGGTTCAGGGCTGACACTCCTAGCTCTGTGGACGATGCGCTCGTGCATATGCACAGGGCTGGGTGACCTTCGCCGGGGACGCTCAACAGTCTCGACCTCCCTCTGCCTCAGCACCAGCTGGCCTGCTTCGGAGCGCCTGTCGTCACGCAGGAAGGCGGGAGTACGGTCACGCTCATGGATGTGAATATCGATATCCTCATCCGCGTAGCGGACAGGAGGGCCACGGCTAGCAGCACGGCTAGGAGCGCGGCTAGGAGCGCGGCGGGGTGACTCCCTGTAGTAGTCGTCGAACTCGACCCGGCTTCTGCTGGCCATGGTCGCTAGTGTATGATGTTGGTTGTTGTGGTTGTTGGTGTTGTAGTTGGGTGGTGGTATGAACAGCCGGTGAAGGACCGAGAGAGGATGTGTGACCAGGTGAAGTCTGGAATCTCAGGCCAGCGGGGTGATGACTGGGTTATGAAAATTTCTCAAGCCAGCCTTCTTCTAGGCTGCGAAGTGTGGCAGAGCCTGACGTTTAAGTAAGAGGGGAAGCCGGGAGAAGGAACTCGTGGACAGAGAGGGTGGGAGTGAGGGCGGGGTTGGTCTGAGACTAGGAAGTGGACTAGACAGACAGGGTGGGCGAGTGGAAGAGAGTGGGCGTGTGACCGTGATCTTGGCAAGCTACCAAGTTCCTTCTTCAGCTGATGATGTGATGGATGACTGTCGGCCTGGAATCCGTGTGGTTGGGCTGCGGTTAGGACCGATCTGGGTACCTATGTTCTTGACGGGAACCTACGAGAAGACTCTGATGACCTGCTGAGAGGACTGCAGAACGAGGACCTCTTGATGCTTATGAACTTGCAGTCTGAAGGACAAAAACTGGAGATAACGGGATACGGAGAGAGGAGAAGTAGACAAACACATTTAAGGAAGGAGGCAGTGACGGGAGGGGCATGGAGAAGAAGGCTCCCGAAACCCACTCTGGAATTGCGCAGCAACACCGGGGAGGAGTGACTGCAACTGACTGGCACACACTCCAACTCGTTCCCTCCTCAGTGGAACAAACACCCGGGCGTAGCATGATACGTGATAGTACATTACCGAAGCAAAGTTGGGTCTGACGAAGTTTCAGGGTCCGGCCCGGTTTGTGACCAGTTTCTGGCCATGTTGATGTTCTTTTTCCCATAATGACTGCCCTGGTTGAGCATGTTGAGGTTGGGAACCGCCCAGACATTGGACGTCCAGCCAATTGCCCGGGAGTGTAATTGGGCTCGAAACCAACGTCATCATCCCACCATAACTGGGAAGGTGCTGGGGGGAACCATTCAGTGCCTTTTCTTGGAGCCTGCTCAAGCGCAGTTTGGTCTCCATCCCATACAACAGGCTGCATCCTTGCGCCCTAGTGTCGTCTGCTCAGCGCTTGCCGTGAGGCCGAGGCGCCATCCCAAGTTCCATCCAAACTTACCAACCCCTGGCCCGACATAGTGTAATGGAGTGTCATTACGGTACGTACCGGGCTGTATGAGATCTGAGGGGGCTGGTCCCCTAGAAACAACAACAGGGACAATATCTAGTTTCATCGCAACAAGCTTAAATTCAACCACGTATGTCAATGAAAGAAGTGATGCCGCGTCGTATGTTTATCTGGGCTTGGTGTTGGTGAAGTGAAGACCAAGTGAACTAGTCAGTGTGAGACTGAAGTTTGTGGATTGAGTTGACGGGTTTGGGGTACATTACATTGCACTTGATTACACTCGGGTTACGTTACTCAGGAACTCACGATAGCCGATGGTTTTGCGCCGTTGGGTTCGTCCCGTCAACCTCAAAGTCTAGAATCTTCCCACCAGCAAAGCCACCCGGCAGTCACCATCATTTACCGAAAAGGGTAGAGACCCGGAGCTGGCGATGCCGTCGCCTTACAATGGCTTTGGATGTGTCAAGCTCGAGAAGTGGAAAGTCGACAATTGTTTCCACTGGCAGCGGGTAAAACTATCATAACCAGCCACTTTACTAGCTGCTTCTTAGTGCATAACTGCATGCCCAGCCGCAACGCCCAACAGCACAAGTTCCGTCTTTACGTCGTCCTGCAGGAGGGCTGTGCCGCGACAGGCTCTGAAGAGGTTTGAACCCACGGCGTCACGGGCGGGCAGGCCGCGGCCGTCGACAGCCGACTCCACGGCATAGTGATAGCTCCTCTGTCTTGGGGTTCCGTCAACGGAAACAGAGCGCGGGATTTCAGAAATCTAGTCAGCAAATAGTCGCGCTGGGCTTCAGGCTATGAATGCCTCTTACTGGCTGGGCTGAAGCTCATGAGACGACGGCTTCAGTTCTGCCCCTCCTTCTCGGCCCTTCCGCTTGTCCCTACGACGGCATGCTCCCCTCCACTGCCCCTCCCTTATTCGTTCCCGTCCCCTCTCCATGTGTTTTAGCCTGCCCCACCATGTCCATTGCTTTCCACTCACAGTCGTGAAAATCAAACAGGTCAAATCTTCTCTTTGCTTGTGATCTTCGTCATCGCATCCGCTCACCACCTCGTACACATGTTTACACGGGCCTCCCTTGACTCCCCCGTCACACGAACCATGATCTACCAATCATCCGATCGGGATTCTCACGACATCGGACCAAAATCTCAGAATGAACCCGTTCGGATGAAGTCGTCCCATCTCCTTGCGCTTTGATCCCGTCTTCACTGAACCAAATTCTCGGGATGCGAAAGCGAAAAAAACAATGCCGTCGGCGTCGCCGTTATCGTCTTGGGCACATCCGGGCTGAGGTCCAGACGGAGTTGAAGAAGCGGAAAATCTCAACAGCCGGCGGCAGCGTCGCCAGCACTCAGCGGTGCCAGCGGGGTTTGTGGGTGACCCTGTGACGCAATCATGCAGCTTGAAGCTTCGAACGATAAAATAGTCCGACCAGTGAGACATCGAGAAACCACAAGAAATCACAAGAAATCCCAAGACTTGCTTTTCGGGACAAGAACTTTAGCATCATCTATATTTCATCGACCGACTGCTGTTCGACCAAGGGAGCAATACACATAGAATAGTCCAAGTGGGTATACGGTACTGTGTTATAGGGCTGGCCAGAATCACAGCCAGAAACATGCAGTCATCCGAATGAAAGCAAAGGTTCCAAGGTATCACATTCACACCTCCTGATATCACCATCGCAGTCGCTCTTCCTTACAAAAGAATCAACGTCTTGCTTGACCGCCAGCGTGGTGCGAGGATGACTCCCAGGGAACACGGAGCCAGTTACACTACACTTGCCCGTAGAATATCTCCCAGTCATAAACATGGCATCATATGAAAAGCGGTGCTTTGGAACCACAAACCCACCGGTTGAGCCTGACTGCCTACCGGCTACTACACAAACACAGAACATAACGACTACTTCCCAGAGCCTCATACAATAAGATTTCGGTCAGGCAATCAACGTTGTAGCACAAGGCAGAATTTTCGATGCACGGCTTTCGGAGCCTCCTACTATCGATAAAGAATTAAGGATAGCCGCTTGCATCTATCTGGTCTGTCAGTGTCTCGATGGTTTCAAACTTCCAAGCACCGGATCATCGCTTTGGCTGGATTGGGCATCAACGAAAAATTATGTATTGTGTGTAAGTACGGTAAGAATGCCCCATTACTTCATAGTCGATGATCAGGGGTGGAAGACACTTCAAACAGGCCGGTAGCAAAGATGATCAGGAACTCGATTCGAACTCGAGATGATCTACGATTTCTATCAAGTGTGCCGGCATATTATTGACAAGCATGATGAGCATAACCGACACATGCCATGCCTCGTGTCTTGGTTGCTCGTCTGCCATTTTTAGACGCAATACCCCTTGAGAGTGGCAAAAACGTTAACCGGTAGGTACACTAAACCTGGACCTGCAAGTAAATGGCTATCATTCGTGCCATTGACCCAATCGTGCATCTCGGTAGAGGTATTGTTCCTGCGCTCGTTCTTTCTGCTCATTCCCTTGCGTTCGGATGAATTCACCGTACATAACTAACAACCAGATTCGGATATCTCGACCGAAAGGAACTCCCGAGATATCAAGTTTTATAAGAACGGACCGTTTCCGATCTGATCAGGGAGGCAAACAATACGCCAACCTCCTCGATATGTTCCTTCTTCTTCTGCTTCCACGCACGTTGTAGAAAGCTCGCCGAGCAACAGCCAAATACGATAGAACAACTATAGAGGTGATAGCCGACTATATCCTCCCATGTTCTATACGTCTCCTCCCACTTTTGACTATCTTCCATGTTCTATATGCTCGTCCCCCTCTTGAATATTATGTACTCTTCACATGTTCAGTGACGGAACGTACGTACCTACGTATTCTCGGCGCTGACATATACTATCATACCACGTCTGTGTTAGGGCCCATACCTGCCATATGTATGTAGCATCAAGAATGAAACAGACTAAAGAAAGGAACTAGATAGATAGAAAGCCTCGTATTCTGAAAACTGGAGACAGGACAAGTTTAACCTTCGTACCATCATGGACTACATACACATTTCTCATACACAACAAGTATCGAACCATTTGGTGATGATCCTTCCACTCACACAAAGACGGTAATTGCTATCATAAGACATCCACCAACTTTCCAGCCGGTCAACAGACTGACTGTCTATTCGAAGACGAACCGCGCAACTGCGCACATCCTCTATTAAAGTTAGATCACGCAACCGCTCCGAACTTAGCTCGAATAGTCTCATTCAAGAGTCTAGCGCAAACAAAATACAAAACCACCACACCACACCACACCATCAATACCGACACCACCACTCACTAGGTGCTGTTTCAGGGTTTAGTCAAGTCAGGTAAGTGCTTTGCCGCAGCCATGCAATTGTCTGATTTTCAAGGCCTGTTTTGGTCATGTTTCGTCATCTCGCTGACAGAAAGGAGATGGAGCTTGAGACGAGCGATGTGTACAGAATGGACTATCCATCGAAGCTCTTGAAGTAACTCTAACTCTACTGAATAATTTATTATGTATAGAAACGAGATTAATGACGAGCTAGTAGCGCTACAATTCATACTAAAAATTATCTCTAAATGAATCCGTCAAGACGGATGGATGGTGTTGAGGGAAGGCGTAACTAACCCATTTGTAAGTAGAATGACGATTATCGCTACTTTCAGTACAACTCGCTCCTTTCAATGCGCCGAGTTTTGACATACCAAATTAGACCCCTTCTATGACTTGAACAATTTTGAAGATTGCTATGAGCCCTCATGCAATCCCACAACTGGCATTTGGCACCGCGCCGCGGCGCACCACATCGCATCGCATAACATAGCCTCGCATAGATAGTAGGGCGGCTTCTGCTCACCACCGAAAAGATAACATCAACCCCTTCGTTCCTGCTCTTCAACCCTTTCACGCCTTCTTACCGCGCTTCTTAGCAGCCGGCTTCTCAGCAGCAGCCTTGCGGCCTCCCCTCTTTGCCTTCGGAGCAGGCTTCTCCTCCACCACCTCCTCCGCATCAGACTCTCCCTTGACATCCTTGTCATCATCATTGTCCTCCTCGGTCTTCTGAGCATACTCCGGTTCAGACTCAGGTTCAGGTGAAGGAGCCTTCTTGGTCTTCTTGCCCTTGCCCTTGGCGGCAGCGGCAGCCTTGCCCTTCTTCTTCGGGACTTCCTTCTCCTTCTCACCCTCCTCCTCCTCTTCCTCATCTTCATCTTTCTCGCTGCTGCTCTCCTCCTTGATAGCGGCCTTGCGAGCTGCGCGCGGGGGTCTAGCCCTGGTGGCCTTCTTCTTGGCGGGAGGTTCGGGCTTGGCCTCCTCTTCTTCGTCATTCTCCTCCTCCTTGGCAGGGGCCTCAGCAACAGCCGCGACGTCTTCGGCGTCACTCTCCTCCTTCTTCACTGCGGCCTTCTTGCCTCTGGGCTTGGCCTTGGTAGCGGGCTTCTCTTCCTCGGCCTCCTCGGCATCGCTTTCCTCCTTGACGGCGGCAGCAGCCTTCTTGCCCTTAGCCTTAGCCTTAGCCTTCGTGACGGGTTTCTCCTCCTCGGCCTCCTCGGCATCGCTCTCCTCTTTCTTGACGGCGGCAGCAGCCTTCTTGCCCTTAGCCTTAGCCTTAGCCTTCGTGACGGGTTTCTCCTCCTCGGCCTCCTCGGCATCGCTCTCCTCTTTCTTGACGGCGGCAGCAGCCTTCTTGCCCTTTGCCTTAGCCTTCGTGACGGGTTTCTCCTCTTCGGCCTCCTCGGCGTCGCTTTCCTCCTTCTTGACAGCGGCGGCTGTCTTCTTGCCTCTAGGCTTGGCCTTGGCCTTAGCAACAGGCTTCTCCTCCTCCTCTTCCTGCTCCTTGACATCACTTTCCTCCTTCTTAACGGCCGCGGCCTTACCTCCGGCCTTCTTGGCCTTCTTCGCAGGGGGCTCGGCCTCATCGTCCTCGTTGGCATCGGCCTTCTTGCGACCACGCTTAGCGGCGGGCTTTTTGGCAGCAGGTTTGGCGTCCTGTTGGGAAGCAAGCATCATGTGTCAGCGGGAAGTAAAAAAGTTAGGGCATTGATGGATAAACATACCTCCTCCTCGCCGTCCTCAGACGCCTTAGCCTTCTTCGTCTTGGCGTGGATGCCTCTTTGGCCAAGTATGTTCATCTCGGGGTCCTTGATGCGGAAAGGCAAAGTCAGCAAAGGGTATTCTACCACATCTTGAACCGGGACCTGGTAACTGGATATACTCACGCCCTTGAAGTCCTCGGGGTCAATGTATCCCTGAGTGATAACCCGCTGAACCTTCTCCCTCAGCACGGGGAACTCCCTGAACGCGCATCCTGTCAGTTGATCGGTGTCAACGCCGAATGGATTAATGCCGAAAGAAGAACTCACTCAAGCTCCTCCCACCCGTCAAGCATATCCCACTGATAGTCGCCAGAGCCGTCCTTATCGAGCATCTCGCGCATATTCTCGATCTGCTGTCCCGAGACACAACCCCTAAAAATAAAACAGCACATATTAGCCATGACGAAGTCCAACGAAAAGGTGGTCGAGGGCCGCCAACTGGTGACCGAAGCCCAGTTCAGTTCTCTTCTTACCAATGACGCCAGTGCCAGCCGCCATGATCATAGATCTCAACCCATACTCCGAGACGGAGCTCGCCCTTGGTGATCTTGACTGCTTCCTCTTTGCAGACCGAGTCCTTGCAACCGGCACGGTTGTTCTTGGAGACCTCTGGAAGGGTGGGTTAGCGGTTGTGATCGATCAAGTGGGATGGATGTTCATTGAGGCTATGGGTGAGAAAATAAGGGGGAGATATGGGCAGGAGGAATAATGAGGGAAAGCGGTGTCTTTGTCTCTTGTCCGTTTGGCCGTGTTTGTGTGTTTGTGTTCGCTCTTTCGATGGAGTGAGTGGTGTTGATGTCATATCGATAACGACCTTGACCACATCGCTTATGAAATTTGAAGGTGAAAAAGCCGTCCAGGTATTGGACAAAGTTTGAAAAGGGCCAGATGATCCGAGTTCATCTCAGGCAGTATGTACTCACCAATACGGTAAGACATCTTGAAGGCGTATGTTGTCGTCTGTTCGGAAGTTGGATGACCAAAGTAACAAGATGACAGGTGGGCGCACAGACAAGGTGCGATGGCCGGGTTTTCCTCACGCGCTGGGAGTGAGATTTGATGGAAAATTTAAGACGAACAATACCCGTCGGCGATGAAAGTATAGTCGATATTTTTTGGGTGTGAATTGGCGTATTTGACGGGGTTTGCGACGGGTCAAAACCGCGTTTGCTTTGGAATGGACGCGAGAAAGACTTGTCAAGACGGCCCAGATATATGGTGGGTGGGTGGATGTTCTGGCGCGGAGTGGGAGGTGAATAGGTTTTACCGCGTACAGGGGGTGAGCGTTGCCTCTCTCTCTGCTAGTTAGTGGGTAAGGTTGCTAGAGAGGATAGAAATGCCAACGAAGTCACCGTCGCCAACAACAAATGATGCTCGTCAGAACTTGTGCAAAACAGGTAGTTTGCGGTGAGGAAATGCCCAGGTTAAAAATTTTTGTCGTCAATCATTTTAGACAATCAGTTAATATTAGGGCACAAGTGGTGTGCAATCAGAAACACAAGGAAGGAGCAGGTGAGTTGGCACCCCTTTGCACTTGACATATGTACTACTTGCCCTTCCAGCGCTGTAGCACTGTAGCACCTCATTGTAGCGCTATCAGCCAAAAAGAGCTTCTGATATCAACAACTCCCGTCCAGGTAACAAACATTCCAACTACGCTGTCTATTATCTATACGCTGTATCAGTACCATATCATACAACTCCAAACTACAAGAACGGGCACCATCCAATATACATAGCAGCCAAGTTCTTCGGATCAGTCGCCTGCTTAATGAGCTCCTCCACCTGACCCTCCACGCCCAACGGGATCTTCTCATGCGGCAACAGCCCCCTAACCTTGCGCTTGATACTCTCCACCACGCTCGTCGGGTTCAGCTTCACCACATCATGATTCCTCTTCTTGGTCCTCTGCAGATCCAGTGTCGGGTCATGGATAAACGCCTCCAAGATCGTCATCAGCGTCTCCTCCTGCTGCCTCAGCACCTTGAGCGTCAGCTCGCTGCAGTTCCGGAAGGGGCCTTCGTAGCGGTAGATGCCCATGGCCGCGATCATGTTGTGCGTCAGCCGGAAGGGCACCTTTTCCGGCTGGGCGAAAGTCAGGCCCTTGTCGAAGAGACAGTTGAAGTCGACGTGGAAGACGCCGCCGTTGCCTTCCTCTAGCAGCACGTTTTCACCGTGCCGGTCGCCGAGGCCGAGGATCGTGCCGACCATGGACATGACGGCGCAGGAGCGCGTGTACCGCAGTCGGGCGGCAAACCAGGCTGATGGGTCGGGGAATTGCGAGATGAACCATTCCGGTAGCACGTCGGGGAACATGCCGAGTACGGTTTCGGACCAGAGATGGAGATTGTCGTCGGACGTGCACGCCTGCTTCATCAGCTCTGCGATTTGCCCGTAGTTGGGTGTGATGTTCCGTGTCTTGTAGATGCCCAGGAGGATATCGCGGAGGGTTTTCAGACCGTCAACCCATTCGATGATGCCGCACTCCTCGTTCAAAGGCGTGACGGCGTACGTCCTGATGTAGAGCTGCCGTTTGCTGGATTCAGTATCGCGCTTCAACGACCGGTTGATCAATCCATTGAACTCCATGAGGCGTTGGTCGGTGCGGAGATCATCCTTCGGTTTAATCAAGAGACCGTAGAGCTGCCCATTCGATCCGCGTGCCGTCAATTTGCGCGGCTTCGCTAGAGATCCCAGCACAAGCACATCATCAAGGAATCCATCAATGGTGATGACGTCCCCGGAAAATGCCCCGTGTTTCCTGATGTTGTCCGTCAAGGTCGGCAATGTCGCGGTGAGGCACGTTTCTATCGGCACCACCAGCGGACACGGCGTGCATTTGTGGTTGAAGTTCAAGTCCCTCGTGATACTCGCTCGTACCGTCCTATTGCTCTGGAAATCTCCCTTGTTGCATGCCAAAAGGAGCTGTTCGGCAAGCTTCTCGCCCATTTTGAGCAACTGCCTTAGATCGTAGCCCGTCTTATCGACTTTTCTCTCGATGGCTCTGAGGTCGTCCAGAACTTTGTGCCCTCTGTGTCGTCTAGCGCTGTTCATGCGCCCGGTCATAAAGGAGAAAAGACTCCAGATAGCCTGTCGGGGGTGTGCTTCCACCACCTTGATGATCATCTGCTCCAGAACCTTGAATACATCGTTGTTCGGATGGGCTATTCTAGCCACAATTTGCGGCAAAGCCGTGTAGAATATGTAAGCTGGCATCTTGGGTAGATGCTTGTTGAAATGCTTATACAGCTCATGGAGAATGGTCCTCCGACGTGATTGTAGCTCCGCGGACAAGGTCACCCTGCCCAGTGACGGTGCATCGACTTGAGTCCCGAGTTCGAGCCATAGGGTGAGAATTCGTGGCAAGGTTTGGTGCACGTACTTTGTCCCAAAGTTGAGTGAGCGCAGATAATTCTCTATAACCAACTTGGCAGTCTCGCCGGTCAAATATGCGTCGCTTTGATCATCCGGGCTGAGCGCCTTTTCGGACTCCAAAACCTTCTTGTAGTGACGCCCAAGGTAGTAGTGTCCCTTCTCCCATTGCGGGTGGGTTTTGGCAGCTTCTTGAAACTTTGAGCGTAAAGCGCCAGCGTGAGTTTGGCCGGTTGAATCGAGCCACTTAGCAAGAAGCAAGTGGGCTCTGGCTTTCAGTAGATTGCGATGAGACTCCTGGCTCTTACTAGATGTCGGGGTATCTATCACCATCATGCTATCGTTGTTGAAGAGGTCGTCGTCGATGGCGCGTTGCAATAGCTGGATCGCCTTGCGGTGCTGGCCGTCCTTGTAGAACAGCTTGGCGTACTCTATGACTGCAGAGCTATCTCCAAGCTGCTGCGCACGTAGCACTGCGTTGAAAGACTGATGAGTCGAGCCAGACTTTCTAGCCAAGCGAGCAGTGGCCAGCCATGACGAGGATATCTCTTCGTCTCCGAATTTCGGCCTAGTGAATCATCAGAAACGAGCTCGATAAGTTCAGGGATCAAACAAGACACATACCTCATTAGTTCCATCGCTGCTTTCCTTACCCCAAGCACATACTGCTTGTCGCTGACATAGGCACCGAGTACCTCCAAGCGACGTTCTAGAGCCTTCATAAGAGGCTCATGGCCTTCACCCTCGATTGGCTCCGCATTGGCAATCATCTCAAGATCCGCCAGAACGTGACACTTCAGCATCACGTCATGGCAGGTTCTGAACGATGATGTCGCTGAAAAGGTCATGGAGCCGGCCACCTTGTCCCGCATTGCCTGCAAAAGTTCTTCGAACCTTGCTCCGTCACCTTCCTTGAGACAGAGCAGGGCATCAGCGATACCGAGGTTGAAGATATCGGTTACGTCGCCCTCAGTGTACGACCGTAGATACTTCTCCATTATCTGCCATCTGCCCGTTGCCCACGACGCCTCGAGAACAAAAGGCATTACCTTACCCAGACTGCTTGGTGTTTTCTCGATTCCTTCAGCAAAGCTCAGAAGATTGTCTGGACGCAATGTCAGCTCCGTATCATCAATTCAAAGATATCAGAGGTCACTCACCATACTGGCCTGATTCCTCCAGGCAGGTCAAGAGGTCGAGCTGAAGATTGACATCATCCGGCGATTCAGCCAGCTGTATCTCGTACCAGGTCTGCGCAGCGGTCCATCGGCCGGCCTTACGATGGCTGAGAGCCTGCTCCTTAAACCCAAGGTCTTTCATGCACGCGGATATACCATCTAGCCCATCAGGATCGTCGATCTGGGTATAGATGTCGTGCACCGATCGCATGAGACGAGTTGCTTCGTCACCTATAGCCTGGTGTCTGCGACTTTCAATGTGTGGCTCTAGGAACAAAAGAGCGCGAGCATATTGCCCACAGTCGATCGCTCGTCGAGCAACAAGTTCCGGATCAAGGGAAGAAAGCACCTCCTCAACCAATGGACACCACATCGCATCTTTCTCTTTAGGTGCTGGCTGGGACTTTTTGACGTGTAGCCAGTTTTTGAAGTAGTCAAGAATCCGGAACACGGCCTAGTTTGGTCAGTAACAGTAAAAGACAGTCATGAGAACATGTACGTACCTCGTAGCAAAGCTTGACTTCCTCTTTCTCGGAATGTGTGGCGGTTTCCGGTGGTTGATACTCCAAAATGGTCTTAAGCTCAGCCATTACCTTCTCCCTCCATTCCGAACCGTTTGTCTTGTCGTCGCGGGCCTCGGCGGTGGATGGCCCATCCTCACCCTCGAGCATCTGGGTGTCATTTGGTTTCTGGGAAGAGTGCTCTCCCCCAATAACGGCGTGTAGCACCACGTAAGGCAACAGGAACTCGCTGACACAAAGATCCTGGACCTTAATAAGTCGACAGAGAGGTGGAAAGAGAATCTGACTGTTAGAGTTCTGTGGGTTGCGAAGAAGATCGAGAACAAACGTTTTGAGCCAACTCTCATATGATTTCTGGGGGTGGAAAACCGGGTATTTGGTGTCCTGCCCAGTCATGCTAGACGAAACGATAAAATCGGATGTCAGAAATGGCGTTAAAATCTCCTTGGTTATATCATTGAAACTCCGCCATCTCTTGTATAATGTCTCGTGGTGGCCCTGTCCCTGAGTTTGGTAAGCGATCTTGATGCCCGTTTTGGCCAGGAGCTCCTGCATCGCATACGAAAGGAAGCTCAGGAACTTCGTGTCTGTAGTTGAAAGGAAAGCCTTGACGAGAACGTTCTCCAGCATGAAACACACAAAGTCCGCTGTTTCTTTAACATCCAAGAAGTTGTAACTGACGACAAACCGCTTCTGTTCTCGATTGCTCTCCATGCGGTTCGAGTCAAGGCACCCAATGATACCCATGCATTCGGCGCAGAGGCGCATGATCCCAGGCTGCCAACCATTGTACTTGGCTGCACAATCAAGAACGGAGCGTGTAAGTCCCGGAATGAACGATTTGGGTTGTTCAGTGAGAGCGGATGCTTGGATATAGTCTTGATGTTGCCGCAATAACTCGAGGAGCTCGGTCAAAGCTTGTTCAATAACACCTGGATGCTCGTGTCTCAGTCGTCGGCGAAACGTGCGGAAAAGGTCTTGACGAGTAAATTCAGACCCCGGCAGAAGATCCAAACGCTTGCGGTGTTCAGCCAAGTCAGGGAGATGATTGAAAGTCGTCATCGAGGCCGTTGCCTTCACGAGATCATGCCCATTAGTCTTATAAAGGGCGTCGAGGACTTCTTGAGCCTGTTGCTTGGTACTGTCGTCAAAGCATGTCCAATGATGTGTGATCACCCAGAGCGTGGTGTCAAGTAAGTTTGGCACATCCGTCTCGTCCATGTTCATAAGCATGACCGACCAGCACGAAAAGGCATCAGAACGAAGCTCGTCGCAGCCTAGTGCAGAAAGTAAACATGCCGATATCTATGAGAAGAGCGCGGTGAGTATACGTGTTTCCAGGCCGGAGTCACTGATTCAGAGTAGCATACCTGTGACCGAGCGGTTGATACAGATGATCGACAAACTCTGATCATTTCTTCCATTGCTCTGAGGCATCGTCGTCTATCTGGGATAGGAGCATCGATATCTGTTATTCGTTCACTGAGTCGCCCTACCAGCCCGAGTGTATAATTTCCTAAGAAGCGCTCGATGATATGCGGTGGCTCGGCTCCCTTCTCTTTTGTAGGTGAGATCAGAGTTGCCAAGGTACTGAGACCTTTGCCTATCTGCGTATTGTTAGCCTTCGGTTTCTATATATCAGTGCACAAAACGTACTAGTGCCTTTTTGTTTTCGTCAGCCCCGCCACTGGCTTTGAAAAGCTCGAATAATATTCCCAACGGGTCAGATCCCAAGATCTCGGCGAGTTGATCGCGTACAGACGCCGGCCGTTTCTCATTGGGGTTGAGCTCATCGGGGTTGAGTTCCTTGAATTTGGGGGAGATCGCGCAGAGCAGTGCCATTGCATGTTCTTCGACGTCCGGGACATCCTGGATCAAGAGAAGAGCAACGATCGAGGGGAAGTTGACGCTGTCAGTGCATGATCGCCATGTTGACTCATCACCCCGGGCTTTGGCGATTTTCTTGACTACACCTAGGTTCTTCGCCAATACCAACCATGGAAGAGCGTGTTTCTGTAACAGGCAAAGAAGTTCTTGGATGCTGAGCTGCAAAGTTTCTGCAACCAACCTCGTGGTCTGCGGTGCCGAAACCAAGTCCTTGACCACCAGAACCGCCATGTTCTCCCAGTATGGCGCAAATAGCTCCAAGGGCGTTATTCCACGATAGGTTGCAATGTTGAGAATTTCGTTAACAGCCATAGCAGACACGACGGAGTTGTTGTATCCCAGATACTCAACGAGCTTGATCAGAATCAGGTTAAGGTGGTCGGCAGATACAACTCTTCCTGCTTGACCCCAAGCCAGTATGCATGTTTCGTGCAAATGAAGAGCGTCCTCGTTGGTGATTAACTTGAGAATATCAAGGACATTGTTTCGGTTCCATCTGGCGATAGTACGGTCAAATCCAGGAGCATCCGGCTCGTCTAACAGGACGGCAAGTGCCCGACCAGCACCAATACGAAGCTCTCGTATAGAGCTGCGTAGTGACTGCACACACCACTGTCCAAGTACCGACTGTTCCAGATCGCGGAACTCAGGAAGGACGGTATGCCGCAACATGCGTTGTAGACGCACCATCGCGTACACACGAGGGCGCCTAGACTCACGGAAACTGGGACTCTTGATAAGCTTCTCCAGGATCTTGTAGGCAGTGGTCTTTGTAACGACATCGTCACATGCCTGCGTAAAAGCTGAATATCCGAATATGGAGCAATGGGAACATTCTAAAGAGGCCGATGAGGGGGCCGAAGAGTCCGAACCATCTTCTTCGAGTCCCAGTGTATTATCGGTAGCGCACGGGACAAAGGAAATGAGCTCAATGACTCGGCATTGTCGAAGTGCTGTCAGCTTGGGAAAAGCATCACTATATTTGTTAGTATGAAAAGAAGCAAGGCCTGCCTTCTACTCGGCCAACTCACATTAGGCTATCTTCTAGAGACGAGATGTCTTCAGAGATTGGCAGGTTAGCAACACGGCATATTTCTTCGACAATGTCGGCTGATATTGCTTGGTGCTCCACAAGTTTCCTTCGTTTAGGAGCTGGTTCAGCGTCCTCGACAACGGAATCGAAGCCCAACTGTTCGACTTGCTGGCGAAGGGTGACGTCAATGAATTTACTAGAATTAAGTTCTTCAAGAACTTGGCAAGAAGAAGCCTCCGCAGACACTGCCTGCTGGAGGAAAATGGCTGATCTCTGAAATGGATGTTAGCGTCAATTAAATCAAAAGGTGACATTCCTGGGGTACCAACCCATAAATCTGAATTAGGGAGGTTAGCTGTAGTGAAATTGACGGCAGGAATAACAACTCGGGATTCGATTAACTGCATCAAAGACCTGTGGTTATCTGCTTCCTTGACGAGATGGAGCAAAGCCAAAGAGAGGGTCTTTCTCATAGCCAGCCCAAACTCGTCTTCGCCAAGATATTGCTCGGACCTATCAAATACCTCGCCGCATATCAACGCAAGGGCAGATACCGCTTTTGGGCGCAGTGTGTCGTCCGCGGCTTCTGCTAGGTCAATAGCTGTCTGAACATAGGGCGCTAGACTCATCTTCAGTTGTGTCGACCAGTCGACTAAAACAGAGAAAAGCGGCTGAAACAAATCCATCATCCAAGCAATGTTTTCGCGGTATAGTAACGGAGGCTCAGCACCCCCCACGGGCAGAATGGATGTCTTGAGGATGTGGAAAATGCTGATGGCGTGGCGGATAGCATGTTCGGAATCCCGAATGGTATAGAAGAGCTTGGAGGGAGTATTTGCATCATCGAGGTCCAGGGCTCGAAGAAACGTGTCCGGCGGAAGTTGAATGTCGAGGGTAGAGTTTCGTGCCTTTATGTCGGCAAGCGGGCTCGATTGGAAATGCTCGAGTATGGCTGGCGCATTACATTGACATTAGCGATTAGTCTACATGACCAGTTGGGACTCGTCGCTAATGCTTACCGCGCAAGCTTGCTTGAAAATACTGAAGCAAGAGTGGGCCAAGATCCCAGAGGGGCACATGTTCAGCAACGGTTTGCAAAGTAAGGTGGAAGAAGTCCTCAATGGCAGATGTAATACCCAGCAGCTTAGCACGACCCAGAAGCGCGAGCAACCTGGGCTGGAACCATAGCCACAGCGGTTCCGGGCCGCGTAAGAAGAACTCATTCCCATCAGTAGTCCGGTTCAGCACATCCGGGGTCTCCTGGACGGCAAGCTTGAGAAGACTAATGGTGTTCTGGGCCTTAAGCTGCAAGCGGGCGAAATCCGCGAACGGGTCATCGGTTTTGACGACATCAAGAACAGGTCCGGCGCAGACATAGAAGAGGATGTGATTGTACGCAAGTCGTTCTTCGTGTGTTTTTTCCAGATCCGAACCGGCCTTGTCTTTTTCCTTCTCGATAATGGTGCACAATCGCTTGATCTCGGTGATCTCGTCGGGTTTCGTGCGTCGAGATTTGTTCGGGAGGCCTTCGACAAGCTCCGCGGCTAGAGTGGACGGAGGCGGTGCTGAGCCGGGCTGGGTTTGGACATCCTCGGTGAAGCTCTCCTCAAGGGCGCCTCCCTTGACTGTTTTGCCATGTCCTCCGGACGCCATTTTCAATCGACATCTTTGGTGGAAATCGATGACGGCGACAACCTAGGACTAGGACCAAGGTACGATCGAAGACGCCAATGGGTCTTGTGGAATCGTCAGAGGAAAGAAGTTGGGTTCTGCAACCGAGATATGTGATAAGGTGGGATGTTAGTGGACGCAGACTAGAAACGCGACTCGGACAAACGCGAGGCGGGGCTAAACGGGTGGTCACGTGCAAGGGACTTTTCTCACAAAGGCAGCAGTTGTTTATGCCAAGCCTATCATGAAAAGGGGTTCAGGGGCGTTTGACAGCACTCAATAGTTCTCCACAGTAGCTCTCAACGAAGGAAGTTCGAACATTACATTTCAATGATGATTGTGATGAATTATATCGATTAATACTGCCGACTGGATATGCGGTTATCCATGGTGGATATTCCAAGAGCCATGTACAAAGAATGATCTGCTATACAAATTGATATAGTCCCCCCGAACGGCCGGCTACGCAGTTTATGCGCTGCTCAACAGCTTCTCGACTGCCCACTTGACAGAAAAGTTCCTGAGGTCCGAATAATGCTGTCCAACTCCCACGAACAAAACAGGAACGTTCGTGGCGTGAACAATGCTGACAATTGTGCCCACCATATCTCCTACTGTATCGCACTTGGAGATGATAAACCCGTCCAAAGTTCGGCCAGCTCCGAACGAGGCGTTGAAGTTCTTGGCCTGAGCCACGGAATCGGTACCGACGAGTGCCTGTTGCGAAGCCAGAGGGTCAGTATCAGAGAAACAATATGTGCAAAAATAGCTCATAGTGCAGAATAGAATGCTTCTTACCTCGCCAACCATCAGGATCTTGTCAGGTTGCGCAAACTTGGCAAACTTCTCAAGCGAAGACATTAGCCGCTGGTCGTTGTGCCTACGACCGGCTGTGTCAATCAACACCACGTCGAAGCCCTCCTGGGCAGCAAATGCGACGGCATCCTTGGCCACCGCAGCGGCATCCTTGCCGTATCCCTTTTGGTACAATTCAACCTTGCCGCCTTCTCTTTGTGTGAGTTCCTTGAGGTTGCGCACATGCACCGCCAGCTGCTCAACGGCGCCTGAGCGGAAGGTGTCACCAGCCGCAATCAGCACCTTGTACTTGTTCTGCAAGAGGAAGAAGCAGATCTTTGACAGGTTGGTCGATTTGCCGACACCGTTGACACCAACAATGGACATGACATAGGGTCTCGCCTTGCGCAGAGACGTGGCTGGTGGTGATGTGATCGAGTCGATCTCGCGAAGAAGGTCCAGCGAGGATGTGGGCGTAAGCATTTTGGTCAACGAGACCTCCATGGCTTTTTGTATCCTGGTATTGATGCCTGGGCAATGTTGTCAGCTCTCTGTCATTGCATATTGGAGGGCAAGACAACCGGACTTACTCTCGAAGCTTCCTGTCTTGACACCAATAAGCTCCTTCTCAACTCCTTCACAGAGGCGCACAGCAGCCTCGCGCGCGACGTTCTTCTTCAACAAATGCTCTTCCATGCCCTTCATGGCCTTATCCAAATCCTCCTTAGTCAAGACCTTGCCACCCACTACGTTCCTGAAAAGACCTCCAATAGCACTCAGACCTGTTCCCACCAGACCAGTTGGGGCATCGGTCTTGGATGCGGAATTTTTGGCCTCCGCAGACGCGAGAATCGAGTGAACCTCGTCGCCCAGGTCCCTGAGCACAAACTTTCCCTTTGTGGTCGAACCCCATGTTGAGGCATCTACTTCTTCAACGGCCGGCCGCCTTCCTGCTTCACCTTCACTATCACTTGTAGCTTTGGAGGTGGAGAAGTCGAGTTGAACATCATCCTCCTCGTCAGCAAGGCCGTCCGCATCCCATTTTCTTCCCTTCTTGGCGGCCTTGGCCTTGGCCCGTTTGGCAGACGCTTCATCCCCCGAAGAAGCGGGCGCAGAGTTGGTATTCTGTAGCTTTCTCGCTCTTCTCGACATCTTGCCTCCCGGACCTGGCTTTGCCACCAGAAGGTGACTTGCTACAGCGGGAGTGGTGGGCCGCGATGCGTTCGGCGATGTATCGAAGTCCGAATCGCCCTGCTTGCTTGTATTGCTGTTGCTCGGAACACGGCCGCCACGGACAAGGCCAGGTAGCGGCGGGGGCATATCGCTCAAGTCGTCTGACAAAGGTTCATTTTGGAATGCGCGAACGTCTTTCGAATCTGATTTACTGCCCGTCTTCTCGAGCTCTTGCAGTTGTTGGTCGAAGTAGTTATCGAATCTGGCGCATTGAATAAGCGTAACGTTCGGCTTCTTGAGCTGGTCGCCATAGAGGTTCACGAAGATGGTCCGGATGTTGTCAACGAGCTTGTCGATCCATGAGAGGTGTAGGAGTGATCTGTAAACCGCCTGCGAATCATGATGTCAGCAAGTGGCCGTGAAGGGTTGAAAAGAGCACAAGGCGAAGGAGTTGCGCATACAACAAAGATAATACCCAGTTCCTTCTCGAACGACCAGCGCAGTGTATGTTGGTCATATTTGTAAGGCGGATTGGCCGACGCAGAAGCGCCATCCTTGGTACCAGCAACGGCGCTCTTCTCCTCGATGAAGACGTCGGAAATGAAGTTGTTGACCACAGCAGGACTGACGGCGGCGTATGTCCTTGACCACAACACCACCCCTGACGTCGTCAGGATCTCGAAAGTGTCCAACATGGTTCGTCTGAAGGTTCCCCGTTTCGAAGTGGTAAGCTGGTATATAACCTCCTTGATGTCAATTGGCGTTTGAAGGAGTGCGAATTGTGTCAAAGAGGAAGAGAGTGTGAGGATTGAAAGAGTAAAAAGTTGGAAAAGGGGCGGAAGTGAAGTGCTTCGAGCAAGACCAAGACTCGGGCAATGCAGGTGGAAGCCAAACTGTCATAATGGTGCATCGGCGTGGGACAGGCGCCGCGCTTCTGGAACACGCTCGAGCTACCTTAGGTGGGGCCGTTGGACTTGTTGGTGGATAGGGCGCCGATAAGATGTCATCAGGCCATTGGCACGGCAGGCGGTCGAGTGCCAAGGCCGGCAAGGGGTTGTGCTGTCGGCTGGGGGGTCGAGGGGGGTCGAGGGGGGTCTACGGGGTCCAGGCGTCCAGCTGCCTGAGGGTGTTGCTGTCCGGGCCATCTGGTAATGACAGCATCTCCAGATTCCACGAAACACATCGCATCTCCCGTCTCCAGAGCTGCCTCGCAAAGCCACGCAACATCAGCCAACACGAGCGCGCAATACCGACATCTTAGCACCAAGACGAATTCCATACTAATCGACCCGCGGAAAGAGTCTTAGGACCGCGACTAATACCCAAACTCACCCTTCCACTTCATACAACACCAACCGACAGAATGCAGCGATCCGGCTACGGGCAATCGCCCCCTTTACACCACCCTGTCCCGCAACACGTCTCAACTGTTCCCCAACTACGATCGCCTCCGCCGCCCACGTCGCAACCCCAATCGGGCTATGATGGAAGTCCTTACCAGCAGCAAGGGCGGGCGCCGTCAGGAAATATGTTCGGCCAATACGGAAACTTCATAAACGACCCGGCCGCGCAGCTGGCCTCGCAGTTCGGACAGACAGCTTTCAAGCAGGGACAGGAATACCTCGAGCAGAATGTAAGGATGCTACGGTTTACCTGTCGCGGAGGGAGACGCATGCTAATATGAGATGCTACAGGTCAACCGCTTTGTCAGTGTCTCGGCGCTTAAACACTACTTTAACGTCACCAACTCCTACGTAATAAACAAGCTATTCCTTGTCCTGTTTCCCTGGAGGCACAAGCCCTGGTCCCGCAAGCAGACAGTAAGCCCCGGCGGCCAGGAAGGCTGGTACCTGCCTCCCAGGGACGACATCAACAGCCCCGACATGTATATCCCGGTCATGTCGCTGGTCACCTACATCTTCCTCCAGACCCTCATCGCCGGTCTTCGCGGTCAGTTCCAGCCGGAATTGTTCGGATACATTGCGACAACTGCGCTAGTGGTGGTTATTGTTGAGATCCTGGGCTTGAAGCTGGGATGCTACCTCCTGAGCATCTCCAACGAATCGCAGCTCTTGGACCTCGTCGCTTACTCTGGGTACAAGTTTGTTGGCGTTATTGTCACCATCTCTCTTGCCGAGATTGTCAATGGCGGCAAGGGAACCGGTGGTGTGATCGGCTGGACTGTCTTTGGTTACACTTTCTTCGCGAACGCTCTCTTCTTGGTATGATGCCCTGCAGTTCGTTTTCGGGATGGGATCGCTAACTGACCTACGTTCATTAGATGCGCTCCTTGAAATACGTTCTTCTTCCCGAGAACAACAACAACGCCCAGGGTCCTATGCAAACTATGCCCACCGAGGGTCGGGCAAAGAGATCGCAGAGGCTCCAGTTCCTCTTCTTCTACGCCTACATCGTGCAGCTCTTTTTCATGTGGATTCTGAGCCGTCCATGAATTGGAGGTTCGGCGGACTAATGAGGGTATAGACAAAATATCGAAAAAATAATTGCTGGGGGACAAGAAGGAGCCTCGGCATAACGGGTGATGCATGGCATATATGGTCACCACGGCTTCAGCCATTCACAGCTAGTATGATAATGAGTGACGGTGCGGGCGTATGCAGATCTCAAATGAGAGTCGGTAGAATAGTCCAAAAGAGGTCTCGGTCACTTACCAACGAGGTTAGGTACCACGCCGGATATAACCGGGGTGTCACCACATTCATGTAATGGAAAGGGGGAGACCGATAAGACAACCCCGAATATCTAACATAGATAACATTAAACCAAATACCTGGGCGTACCTACCTAAATGGGCATGGCTATAGTCGAGCACAGCATTTCGCTTGATAGGACGTCTCCGAGTTCGTCAGCTGTTGGTTCGTATACTAATAGGCGAGCAACCCCCATCTCATCGACGCGATGGGTTGAGCTATAGTCGTGGACACCTGTACTGACTTCAAGCTGTTTGCCATCTTTTTCTCGCCAAAATGATCAAATATCTTTGTCTGTTCCTTAATATCATATTCCTCATGTTTGAAGTCATTGGCCGAGCTGCGTTCTTTCTCGTGATCGGTTGGGTAAGTTCGTTGTTGTCTTTTTATCTCATCCGGTTTTCTGTTGTGTTGCCCAATCGGTGGGGCATCTGGCGCTATGCTAGTCGTCCCCTTGGCTACAGCTTTATTAGTTTCCTCCTCCTCCCAAAAGCCACATCTATTTTTCACAACTAATATTCTTGCCTCTCACATCTTACACATATTCCATTTCGCTATCCTCGAAATCAATACTATCCTCAAAAGTGATCCGCATACCTCTACTGAACTCATCAAACAGCAGGAACCTCCTCAATCTCAAAATGCCCAAGGCAGCAGCTCCCGCAAAGAAAGATGATAACGAGCTATCGCCTATCGTCAAAGCCACGCTACAAGCGTCAGTCATTGCGGGAATATCAAACGTTCTCGCCCAGGCCATCAGTGCCTACAAAGATGGTGTATGTGAACTCCTTCTCCATGGCTCACGTTCATCACGGAAGCGATGACGTAATGCACCATGCATAGAGATATCGATGCTGACAACTTTTGATTCTGCTTATCAGACGCCTTTGGTGATCGACTGGGTACCTGTATTCCAGTTCTTCCTCTTTGGTGTGATTTCCACGCCTCCCAATTTTCTGTGGTAAGTTCCGAGTTCGTTGATGGACGGGGGACGTGAAGTGGTCAACTACTACTCCGGAGATCGATCCCTCACCCCTCTGCATCAAGAAATATCATTTATCACAATCTAACACTCCCCCAAAGGCAAGAACTCCTCGAAACCACCTTCCCCTCCCACCACATCTCCCCCACCACCTCCGCCATCCGCTCCGCCTCCGCCTCCGACGAAAAGTCTCTCGACGACTCCGCCTCCCTCGGCACGCTCGTCGAACCCGCCCTCAACAAAGGCAACACCTTCATCAAATGGCTCCTCGATCAAACCGTGGGAGCAGCCGTCAACACTTTGCTGTTCAGCATGTTCATGCACGGCACGCAAGCGGCTATGCAGCACCGGGCCACCTCTTCATTCGGTTCTGGGGCAGATAACAGCTTCTGGTTTTTGATGGACGGCATCAAAAGGGGCAACGCGATCCAGTATCACTCCGTCAACTGGAACTGGGTCTGGGAGGAGTCGAAGCGGGAGTTTTGGAGTTTGCTGGTGGCGAGCTGGAAGTTTTGGCCGTTTGTGAGTATTGTCAATTTTGCCGTGTTGAAGACGGTGGCTGCGAGGAGTCTGGCGGGGAATCTGGCGGGCATTGCGTGGGGGGTTTATATGAGTTTGTTCGCTGCTGCGCAGTAAGGGGATGGGGATGGGGGGAAGTTGTAGGCTTATGGATGATTATGAGTTTATGTTATGAGGGATGGATGGGATGATGGGAAGTTGGCAACGGGAAACGAAGGGAGAGGAGGGCTTTTGAGGTTCGGTATGTGTGTGTATGAGGAAAGGGGGTTGTTTACATTCATGAAATTACAGTCATCGGGTTAACTGCCGTTGTTGAAGCAATTTGTATACTGGTGTGCCTTTAGAGCCACAACTCTTATCTAGTACGGTCTACCGGGCAGGACCATGAAGTGCCCTCCCTAATCACTTTATGTCGAATGGGAATGAGTAACTCCACTAGTGTTCGGGGAGGCACGCCGACGGCCCTTCGGGGCGGCGTAGCCTCGACCCTTCCCTGAGGCTGTAAGGCTGGATTCTGGGTTGCAGCCCGCGTACGGCTCTGTATGCGGTCCTGGATCCTGGGTTGTGGCCCGTATAGAAGCTGGATACTGGGTTGCACCGTAGCTAAAAGGTAGGGAGAAACCCACTGCTTTAAAATCGAGGTGTGAAATAAAGGTCCTTAAGGTAGATAACTAAATAGAGGTGCAAATGGAGGTACAAATGGAGGTGCAAATGGAAAAAAGGAGTTAATGTTTTTAAAATGCAATGAATGGAAGTGCAAATGGAAGTATAAATGGAGGTGTAAATAGAAATGCAAATAGAAAAAAGGAATTCATATTTTTAAATAGTATTCGGGGAGGCCAAGTTACAACAGATAGAAATGGAGATGAACGTACGCCGCGATGCACGCGTGCAGCAGATTTACGTATTTCAGGGGGTGCTTAACAGAAAAGTGCAAATAAATATCAAGCCTAACAATTTCTATTGCGGTAAGTTTGCGGGAAGGACGGACCGTACGCTATTGCAATGTTAGTGCGCACGGAGCTTTGTATAGGGTACGCCCGCAAAGAGCACTAACACCCTAACCGCACTTTTTTTAGGCTAACCTGCTGTAGATATATAGAGAAGTACGAGAAAGCTGGGGGGGAGTGCCCGGGTCACCTCACACATAGGTCTGACCTCGGCCCCTAATCGGAGCGCCAAGACTATGACAAGGGTATCGCCCCACACCGTAAGCAAAATCCAGCTGACTTTAGAAGCCTTAACAATTGATTTTAACTATTTCCAATTGTTACAAATAAAAAGATTTTACTAAACTAGTTGGGAACTAGTTTGGAACAATTATACCTTAATACATTTAGAATGTACTATACAAATACTAAACTTTAATATAATAAGCATAAACTAATTAAGAATTAGTTTGGAACATATCTTTATATTACAGGGCGAGGTACTATTAGGTATAGGGTAAGATATGCGTTGTTGTGCGGAGGAGAGGAAAGGAAGGTGTGCGTGGAAGATTGGCTATATAGGCGAGAGCCCTAGTAGGCTAGTCCGTGTACGCATATACGTATAGCTATACATAACTATTGTGTTCTAAGTATAGTATATAAGATAGTTAATACAATACTAGAATATTATAAGCTAGTCTTATAATACTATCCCCCCTTAAAAGAAGCTCTAGTAGTTTCGAATCTATATATATATATATAATGATACTCTAAATTATTTATTTTAAACCCTTCTCGTAATCCTCTAATATTTTATTATAATTTATAAATTCCATTTTTAGTATTCGATTAAATTAGATATTTATTAAATGTTTTACTATCTTCGCAAACGCTATTTTTAATCCCCGCTCTTTATACGCTATGAGCTTATTCTCCGGCCTTATTATAATTATAATCGTATCGGGTAACAGTTGCGTTATATCAATGACAGCGGCGGTTTTACGTTGGGTTATACAAGTAGACCGGCGTTTAGGGGGTACCAGTAGTTTTAGAACGGCGACCGGTTTTAAAGTAGAGATTGGTATTAGAGCGGCAGCGGTAGGTATTAAAATTCGTTTAGTTAGTATAATTTCGATTTCCGGCAGTATAAGTTTATTGGGGAATTCGTAGTAGAAGTGTTAGAATATTTTTTCGTAATTAATAACGTTATCTTTAAGTTCCTAAGTCAGTTAGTGGTTACCCTTCTATTCGATACGGTAGTATTAGTGATAGTTACCGTTAAATTAAGTATAGTCAATAAATTTTTTAAAATTTTATTCTTCTTATTCTTTATAATTATTTATCCTAATTATTACGCGCCCATTATTTGCCTTTACGTTAGAAGATATATTTTGGCTGAGAAAGTTTTTGCCAATTTATAGTTGTACTATAGAGATATAGAATACTGGTAAATATTTTATATTAGTTGGGAGTATGAAGTATATTATATAATTCTCCGCTCGGGTAACGCGGAAAGGACTCTCCTACCTGTGACGGCTGGCACCACCAGTCGTCATGGATTCCATTCACGGGTGGCTTCCATTCACGGGTTTGGTTCAGATGGTTCAGGTTCTGGGCTTGGCCTGGCTCCCTCCCAGAGTTCAGGGTATAAAACCCAGTCCTTCCCATCTAGCCTTCCCTTTTGGGGTTTCCTTCTTTCCTCAACTTCTTGTCTTTAGTCCAAGTTAGCCATTAGGGTAGTACAGTCCTTGCACCCGTACCTATCCCTGGCCACGCGTGACACTACCGTAGATAGAACTTTAAATACGGTCGGCCGTTAGTGAAGTTTATTATATTTAATAGTACTATATTATTAGGGCAGTATTTGGGAGAGTCAATACGTTTTTTGTTAGCATTATCTTTATAATACTCTTAAGTTCAACGGGTTTATTAAATAACGAAGTCTTAGATTCGTTAGAAGCAGTCCGTTAATTTGGCAATAATCGATAGTTTTTTATATAAGGTGGATTAGAAACGTAATACTAATTGGGTGCCTCTATCAGATAGAATACTATTAGGTAGGTTATAAATTGAATAAATACAGTCGATAAAGCGGTTAGCAAATTCCTCCGTCTCTAAGGTTACGGTAGGAATATAATACCGTATTTTAATTAAGTGGTCGACAACGATAGCAATATACTTAAAAGTTTAATTAAAATAGGTACTTCCCAGTAGTAGGGTAACGTAGTCGATAAATACGTTTCTTTATACTACTCACAATATAGCTACAAATTTAAAATATTTAATAAAATTACGTTTAAATAATTTTATTTTTGTATAAGGAAGGTAATTTTTATAGAAGGTTTTTACGTCGTTATATATCCCCTTTTAATAAAATTCGTATTATAGGAGTCTATATATAATATTGCAGCTAGGGTAGCCCGCGCTGGGGGAATTATATTAACAATTAATTAGTTGGCGTTAGAGTTCCTTATTGTAGGGGTCGATAATTATTTTATTATGCTATTTTACAATACTATTTACGGCGTAGTATTTAGAGAAGGTACAATAAAAGACCTTTTTAATAGTTAGTAGCTATTAGCATTGTATTTTATTTATTAAATAAGAAATGAATTTTTATAAGAAGATAGATATTTTGTAATTAATGCGGATTAAATCGTCGATAAATTTATTATTAAGGTTGTTTATATTTAATAAGTATAGGGAGAAATTCGCTACGGGGTCTTCTTTAGAGAAATAATTATTTTCGAATTATAAAAGGTCTAAAAGCAGGCGTTTCTTAGTTGTAAATTTATTACTTTTTATATTATTAGGATGGTTATTTAGTTTCTAATTTAATACGTCCGGGTAGAGGTTTTTAGAACCCAGTATATATTTAATTAAGAAGTTGAACTAGGATAGGAATTAGGACTATTATATATAATATTAAGTAAGTTATTTATTAGTCATAAAAGTTTATAGATTTTTGTAATCTATAAGGATATTGAAAGGTTATTAGGCGCTTTCGAATTTTAGTTTCTATTCTTTTAGCACTTAATAATGGCGAAGAATTCTTTATTATAGATATTATAGTTATACTTTTACAAGGAATATTTAGTTGAAAAGTAGGCGACGGGGTATAGTATTCCGTTATCCTTATATTAAAAAAGGGTACTCCTTGTAGCCTAGTTTGAAGTATTAGTTTCGATAACAGTTTTTTTGGTCTAATTATAGATTTTCAAAACGGGGCTTTTTATAAAAGTTTCTTTTAATACGTTAAAGGCCCGTTAATAAGTATTAGTTTAAATTTAGGCGGCGTTTTTCTTAGTAAATTTATATAGTAAGGTTATTATTATTGAAAAATCTTATATAAAGCGCCGATAGAAATTCGTGAGATTTAAGAAAAATTATGGGGAATTTTTAGATTTTGGAACTACCTATTTAGTAATAATTTTAATTTTTTTCGGATTTATTTCGATACCTTTCGGGGTGATAATTAGACCTAAGTATTTTGTATATATTATATAGAATTTGTATTTATTAATATTAATATTAAGGCCGGTTTATACTAGGCGGTCGAAGATATTATTAATATACTATTCGTAGTCTTTAATATTGTTAGAGTAAATAAGGACGTTATTAAAGTAAGCAGTTGCATAAATATTCAGAATATTATATAAAATATTATTAATATAATTCTAGAAAGCATTTAGCGCGCTTCGTAAATTAAATGGTACAACGAGGGATTTAAATAAGTTAAATTGTGTAATGAAAGTAATTAGTTATTTATAGCCTTATTTAACGCAAATACGGTTAAAGGTAATAATAATATCGAATTTAATAAAATTTTTAGCCCAGTAGATAGCGTCGAAAGTTTCTTTAATTAGCAGTAATAAGTAGTAGAATTTTAGGATTATATTATTAATACTTTTATAATTAATATAAATGCGGATTCCGCCCTTTAGTTTCTTAACGAGTAAGATTAAGAACGAAGCCTTAAATTAGGACAGCCGAATGAATCTTTTAGTTAAATTATTGTTAATTTATTTTTAATAACATTTAGTTCGTTGGGGTTAAATAAGCAGCCTTAAACTATTAGCGGGGTAGTTCTCAGGCGGAATTCGATTTTGAAATTATAAGACTATATTAGAAGTAGTATTTCAACGCCTTGGTATTTGAACATTTTAATTTAGTATTAGTATTAAAAAGGGAATTTTACTTTAATTTATTTAGTAGTTTTTAGTAGTTTATTAGCCTTCTTATAAAATTTCATTACGTTTTCAGATATAATTTTATCTAGGGATACGCTATCTATTGCGAAATATTCGTTAATAACGGTTTCGTAATATAGGAAATTCCCCTTTATCTTCGAAAGCGGTATTAAATTAGCGATTTTTATAGCGTAGAGGGTTTCTTTATCCCTAATCCCAGCTAAGCTATTAATTTATTTATAGAAATTACTACCAAATAAATACTTATATCTTTTTTTTTCTTATTAATACTTCTATTAATTTTTTTTAAATATTCTATTATTTATTCTTCTAAAGTTTAGGACGTTTCCTTTTCCGTTTATTTTAATTCAGTCCTTCTTATTTATTCTTTCAATATTTTCTATTATTTGGGCCTTTATTATATAAATGATTTATAATTTATACTTTTTAATTAATTAATTAAAAGTCGTTACCAATAATTCTTTAATATTATTAGGGTTAATAGGGTTATAGGGTATACTATAGATGTAGACCGGTATACAATAATTAGCATTATTAGTTCGGATATTTTTAGTTACTTGGTAGGGAGTTAGAGAAATACGTGGGGTTTTAAAGCCAGGTACGGTTAAAAATATTAAGGCTTACCTTAATCTATTAGGGGTTTTACCGATAGGTATAGTATTTAAATAGTTAGTTATTCGGTATTTAAAGCAATTAAACTTTTAATAAGCGGATTTTTTTATAATCGTGGAGATAGAAATATAGTATACGATGTCAGTTTGGGGGCTATATATATAATCGAATTTAGGTTCCCTTTCGAAGGTAAGTTTTTTTTCGTCCAAGACCTCTTTATAGGAAGCTTTTTCATATATAGGAGTTAGGTAAGTGCCCGGTGCGTTAAATAAAGGAATAATATAATTACTTTCGAATTTTAAAGGGGTACGGCGTATATAGTTAGGGGCGTTTTTTAGGAAATAATTTCTTAATTTATATATTAGGGTGAATTATATGGAGTTGTAAGGTTAGGAAATGCTTGGGACGTAGTAAACGAATTAAGGATAGTTAAGAATAATTAGATTATCCTTTATTAAATTATATATTAATAAATTAATGATTTTGTAATAGAGTTTTACTTATATCGTTAGTTTAGAAAAGTAGGTAATATTACTTTTAGTTAGGCTTCTATTAGCAAAGTAGAAGATTTTTAGTGTTTTTAATTTGTAATAAGGAAATTGATAACAGTAAACGAAGTATTTATTAATAAAATTAAGAATAGTGTAATTACTATTGATTAGGGTAAAATAGTATAATTTATATAATCCGTTAAATAAATAGATAGAGAGATTTAATAACTTAGGGTATTTATAATATAGATTCGTACTTTTAATTGCGATTTAGTTTGGAGGTTGTATATTTCTTTATTAGCCGACGACGCCGTTTTTATTACTTTGGATGGGGTTAATGAAGTTGGATTAGTAAGTAGGGATTGGATAGGTAGGGGTTGGGGTATTTTAGTAGTTTTGGGCAACCGCGGAGGTTATATTTATAGTATTAATTTAATAATTTTTAGCTAGGCGGTATTAACTATATTATTATTAGTTGTAACCATATTGGTTTTATTAGGGAGTAGCGTTACTTTCTTTACTATTACCTTTGTTGCTTTTGCTTCCTTTGCGACTTTTACTTTTATTACGGGATAGGCGGACTTTTTTTTTAAAATTGATATTGGTACGGATATAACTGAAAAGTAACTTTAATGGCTATAGCGAATATAAGTATTTATTTATATATAGTAATTAAAAACCTCTTAAGAAATTATATTACGTAGGGTAATATTAATAGTAGATATTTTATTGAAATTTATAACAGTATTACTTTAATTAATATGCTTATTTATAGTAGAAGTAGAGGAGGTAGTCTTCGGTTTATAGAAGGGGTTGGCGAGGTTATTATGGTAAATATTGTTTTCGAAGTTTTAGGCGAGGCCCTAGGCGGTTTTAAACTATTTTATATAATTATTATCGGTAGGTTGGGGGTATTAGACAATAAGAGCAGTCCGGACTTCCTTAGTAATTTTATTACGAAGGTAATAGATTTTTATAGTGTCGTTAAATTTATAACAATTAATAAGTAAAGTGAATTAGTTTTCGAAAATTTATTAATATATATCCTTAGTTATATTTAGCTCGATTAATTCGTAGTAAGCGCAAATAGTAAGGTCGACATTATCGTATTTAGTATTAAGTTCGGCGAAAAGGTCTATTGCGGTTTTCTATTTCTATTTGGTATTGTTGGTAGAGTATTCGAAAATTGTAGTTAAGTCCGATTTAATAGCGGAGAAGGGCGTACTTTCTAGGGATTTAGCGATATATAAAAAATACTTAACTTTAGATACAAAGTAAGCGGCCTTATTAATTGAATATAGTTTAATCTTTATATACTAGGTGCGGTAGCGTTTTGTACGCTTTAAAAGGGTATTACCTTTGGCGTTAAATAGTAGGACGTACGAATAGGATAATACTGACTAATTATTGCCGGTAGTTATAATTAATATATTGGAATCGTTTAAGGAGCTAGGGTTATTAGGGATTTGGGCCGGGTCGTAAGTAAAGTTAATAGTGTTAGTTTACTTTAATTAATCGCAAAAATTATTGATAGTTTTAATATATTTTTTGCGTTGTTTTTAAAAAGCGATATTAGTGTTAGCCTTAAAGTCGGTGAACGATTGTTTTAAAGTGGCAATTTTTTTATATAGTTCATTAATTTTGAATTTGTATTAGAGAGTTGTAGTAGCTAAATTATTATCAAGTTTAGCAATTTCTTTTTAGGACTCTTTTAATTCTTTTTAAATTTTTTGAGTGTAGTCGCGGGCTTCGATAATATTATTGTGAATTAAATAATTTAAAGCGATAATTATATTGTAGAAGATAGGAATAATCGTAAGAGCGAGAGCGTATTTTATAATTAAAGTCGAAGGAAGGTTAGTGAAGGGATTATTATTAAGGTTTGTAAATACTTTTATAAGGTTATTATAAATTATTTAATTTGCGAGGTTAGAGGTTTGGAGAGATCCGATTGCGGTAGTTACGATAAAGTTATTTATAATAATTAGGATGTCCGATATTGATTATTGGATTAATTATAACGGCGGTGATTTCTTATAGTTATTGTTTTGGAGGTAAGAGGAGGAGAGAAGATTGGATACTTAATTGAATGATTTTTAGTTCGAATTTAGTAATATTAAGGTCGAATTTTATATTTATCCCATTGATAAGGGTTTAAATTTTTAGGGTCGCGGTATACGATTACGATTGATTAATTAATTTCTCTTTTAAGTACGCGTAGTATAATAGTAAAGTATAATAAATTATTATAGGGCGAAGTATTATTGGGTATAAGGTAAGATATATATTATTGTACAGAGAAGAAGAAAGGAAGGTGTTCGTGGAGGATTGGCTATATGGGCGAGGGCCTTGGTAGGTTAGTCCGTGTACGCGTATACGTATAGTTGCATGTGATTGTTGTGCTTTGGGCATGGTATATAAGGTAGTTAATGTAGTGCTAGAATGTTATAGGCTAGCTTTGTGATACTTTACTTAGTTAATTTAATTAAATAAAACAATAATTTATACTTTATTAATATTATTATACTTTATAATTACTATAGTATAATTATATTAATATAATACTTTATATTAGAAAACTGATTAATAAATAACTTTTATATAGAAAATTTAAATAAATTCTTTTTATTTACAAGAGAGTGTATAATAGAAACCTATTTGATAGAAAAAGTGAAACTACTACTAATAATGTTATTAAATAAAGAATTTATATCTTAAAACATTATTATAAATAATTTTCATAATGAATTTGATAATTAATAAATATATAATTCTAAATAGCGCCTTTATTATAAAGATATTAATTTAACGCCTTTAGAACTAGTTCTGAACAAGTCTTCTTATAATTTAAATAATATTAGAAAATTAATAATTGACGTTATTTATATCAATTATATTATTCATTCTTTTAGATATATATATTAAATTCTTATACTTTCTTTCTAATATAGGTTTTTAAATTTCTATTATAGAAAGAAATTTAATAAATTTAATTTTTAAATAAAAAAGAGATAAAAAAAGTGTTTTCTTATAAAATATAATTGAATTATAATTAATAAGTATTATAAATGACCATTTAAATTAATTAAGTAGCTTATATAATATATAACTTTAAATTACGCTTTTATTTTAATAATTTTACTTCATTACTATTAGAATTAGTTCGGAACAAGTTCTTTTATAATTTAAGTAATTTATAAGATTAATATATAACGGCGTTTATATTAATTACAATATATCTTTATTTATTTATATGTTTTAAATTAGAATTCTTCCTATTATTAATAAAGTTAATTTTATCACTTATATAAAAGATATCCTAATATGTTTTGTTTTTAAATAGAAAGAATATAGAAAAATGATCTATTATATTAAATAAATAAATATAGTTATTAAATTGGGAAATGAAATATATATAGGTATTTATAGAATATTATTATTAGAGCTAGTTCGGAATAAATTCTAAATTAACCCTTAAACAATTTGTTAATAAAGACGTAAATTAATTCTAAACAAGTTCGTAACTAGTTCTAATTAATAATAATAAATTAGTAGTGAACTAGTGTTTAAATAATTTCTTTTATATAAAATAAATTTAATAAATATATAAATTTATATTAAATTAATTCTTATATAATTTTAAATTATAACAATAGCTTAATAATTAATTAATTCCGAAATAATTTCTTTATATAACATCTAATTAAATATTATATTAAATTTTATTATTAATAAATAGGTAATTCTTGAAAAACTTTTTAGATAAAATCTTTATAAAATTTCAATAGGTAGACTCGTTCTAAATTAGTTCGCGTCTAGTTTTAAACTAATCTTTCAAAATTAATACTAATATAAAATAGGCGCTTATTTACTATTTTTAGTAGTCTAAAAATAAACGAATATAAATTAATAACTTTTATAATTATTATTTACGAACTTGTTCATAATTAGTTCTGAACTAATCCTATATAAATAATATTAATCTCAAATAGGTAGTTATTATAGTTTCCCCAACGTTAACTATTGTTAAGCGAGCATAGTATAACTTTATATTTCTATATACGCTATAGTGCTCCGATTGAGGGCCGAGGTCTGTCTTGGCGCGTCTTGGCGCTCCGATTGAGGGCCGAGGTCAAGGCCATGTGTGAGGTGAGCTAGCAACTCAGCTGGGGGGGGAACAGTGGGTATGAGATGGAGGAGAGACCCTATGAGGATATCTACAGCTGGGCAATGTGGGTTTGGGACTGTTGTCATGCTCTTTTCCAGTGAAGAAAAGAAATTTCAGAATCAACGGTATATTCTCTCATACTGCTAGGTATAAATTAATTTTTCGACTAATTATGGTCAATTATAAGCTCCAACATTCAACGCAGCTCTAGTCTATCTATGGTGTAGGGCTGTCATTTGGTTTACTTTTGAATGAGAAGAGAACAGAGACATACACCATGTGAACGGGACTTGTATAGTCAAGGATGAGTCTTCATTTATAACACGAACATATCCTTGCGAGTTGCTTTTCACGATATCTTTTCACCCAAGACAAGACAAGAAACCTTGAGCACAATCATTATCAGAACAACTTGGATATTTGCCATTTCAACTCCACGGAAAATCGAAAAATCAAGTTTTCCAACAAAACTACAAACAGAATAGAGTCTCCCACAAGAAAAGGAAAGGGGTAGTCAAGAAGAAAACTGTTACAGTAGCACAGAGAGGCCAGAGCACAAGGAGAACTAAGTACCTAGAGACCGAACGGGCGTTTCAAGCAAAATGATATTTCCTTCCATTCCCATCCCCATCAAATTATCGAAGAAATAAGAAATGTATGAAAATTAAGCGCATCTCTCTCTACCAAAATAGCCATCAAACATTAAGACGTCTTCGTTCATGGCATAGTATTCCCAAAAAAAAAAAAAGGATTTCGCTGATATACTGCTTGCTTGCTTGCTGGTGTGGTGGGTGCAATCGCCGCACTCGCACTCAAATTACACGCTTAGCTTTCCTATATGGCTAAGCTTCTTTTCTCTTCTTTTCTTCATCTGGCAGATCCGGCCGGTTGATGCTCATCATCATTAAGGTGACTGTCGTCGAAATTTTTCTTCCTCCAATCCGCCATGCTTTCGCTTAGACCGGGATTACCATCACCTTTCCTAGGAGGAGCTGTGGTAGGAGTCCCGAGCCCCTCAAAGTCAAACGCGTTGCTGTGTCGGTAGTTCATGCTGTTGGTTTGCCAACGGCTCCGCAACGTCTCGAGTTCGCTTGTCAGGTGATCCAGCGCGACGCTATCTCTAGCATCGGGTCCGGGCCCGTACAAGCTTTCAGCTTCGCTGGACTCATGCCGGGCATGTCCTATTCCATTGGGAGGACCCACTGGTGTCATCGCAGCCCCGATCGTTTCGTTCGGAACTTGCCGGCTGCGTCTGCGGTAGTTGTCGACGCTCATCTCTACTTGATCAAGCAGTGTGCTGACCTTCTGCTCCGCATCCCGGGCGCGGCGCTCCAGAAGGCTATTCTCGTGCTGCAGCTCCTCGAGGTCCTTCTTGGTCGCTTCAAGACGCCGGCTGGCGTCCTCACTGGAGTGAGCCGCCGAATCGCGTTCCCGGCGGACATCTTGAAGCTCTTCACGCAAAGACTGAAGCTGTTGATCGAGTTGAGATGCCGTCTTCTGTAGCTCAGCTTGAAGCTCGCTGACTTGCCCTTGCAACGATTCCCGCTCAGCCTCCCAATCCGCAGGTGCGCCGCTGGAGCCATTTTCACCCCCGACCTTGTCTTCCAGCTCAACAACCTGTTCCTTGAGGCGAGAGTTCTCGGTCTTATACCGCGTCAACTGCTCCTTAAGCTGCTTCAACATCTTCTCAGTACCCTTGACATAGTGCACAGCTGACTGATAGTCATTATCGAGCTGGGCAAGCTTGTCACGATACGTCGTCTCTGCTTCCTGCGCTTGCTTTGCCGCTGCCGCCTTTGTTTCCTCGTGCGCAGCTTGCGCGGCGGAAAGCTGTTGTTCAAGTTCGCGCAGGCGCATCTGCTCTGGGGAACCCTCACGTGGGCTGCCGAGTCGACTCTGGCGGTTTACACTGGTAGGTGAAATACCACGTTCAGTGAGGATATCCTTGAGCGTGTTATGTTGGACCAGGACGGCGTTAGTTTCCAGTTGTTGCTTGGCTAATTGCTGCTTGAGATCCGAGTTGGCGGCCTGAAGGGACTGGGTTTCTCTTAGGGCACTCTGCAGTTGCCTGCGGATCGAGACGCCTTCACGACTGGCTTGTTCTTGATAGGCCTCAAGTCCAGCAATGCGTTCCTCTGCACTTCGTAGCTTGTCTGAGGCAGAATCCGCATCCTGCTGATACTTCCTCACCAGCGCATTAGCGGCGCTTAGCTGGCCTTGGAGGGCAGATGTGCGGTCGATGTCGCCCTTGCCCAGGTTGTGATTTTCCATTGTCGATACCTTGTCCAAACCGGCGAGCACAGCTTGACGGTGGACACGCGCCTCGTTAGCATGGCGTTCGGCTCGCTCTTCGGCATCTCTCAGGCGCTGAGTAACTGTAGCTAATTCAGCAGCCTGAACCTCACGCTCAGCCTTGAGCTTGTTCAACGTGGCCTCAATGTCCTCCCGGAGTGCACGCTCTTCATCAAGTTTCCTTTCAAGCGTCTCTCTCATTTCGGTTGTTGCAGCTACCGCTTCCCTCAGGGACTGGAATGTCTCGACGCTTTGCTTAGAGTTACCGACAGCTGCGTTGTACTTGTTTTCCAGTTCATCCTTCTCAAGGCGGAGCATTTGTGCTGTAGATTCGAATTCCGACGCGGCGACTTCAGCTTCTCTTGCCTGCCGTTGCAGCATATGCAATTCAGCCTTGAGCTGCTCTACCTCGCCGGAATTCCTTTGCTTGAAGTTCTCCAGGTCCGCCATCCTCTTCTGAGCAGCACTGGCCGTATCATCGGCCAGTTTCCTGGCCTTCTTCTCGGCGTCGAGGTCGATTTTTAGGCGTTCTACTTGGTCCTGTAGCTCTTTCTGAACACTCAAGGCGTTGGCAAGCTTCTTGCCCATCTCACCCACACGATCGTTCCCATCCTTATCGGTATCGAGCTGGGGCGTGCTCCTGGCGCTTCCTCCCTGCGCTGCCAGCTTGGCCTTGGCATAAATCGCTTCCTGGATAGCAGCATCTCGTTGCCGCTCGGCTTCGGCGATTTGCTTAGCAGCGAGAACTGCCTGTTTGTCTACTGAACTTTGTACGTTGGCAAGTTCAGTGCGCATGGCAAGCAAAGCTTCGATTAAAGGCCTGTCCTCGTCGTCAAACGTCTCCGCCGCTCGTTGGTCTAGCGCTGGGCTCATCGAGGCGGTGGGCACATAACCGGCTTTGCGTGCCAACTCCAACTCCGAAGCATACCAGGCATTGCGATTCCTTGCTGCGTCTAGCTCCTTCAGAAGTACCACTGATTGAGAACTCCGCTGCGATGACCTTCGGTTGATGGAATTGCTGTTCAGCCTGGTAGTAGGCGCCGGTGGAGAAGCAGGACGAGTGGCCGCTTGCTTCAGGCTTGCATCCGTTGAGCTATCGACCGATCCTTGCGTGCGGGCTTGCTTCAGAGGCGTGGACTTGGGCGTTTCAGCAGCAGGGGGCTCCGTCTGCCTTGACGCAGATGATGCAGAGCGTGGTGTGTTTTGAGTTGGTGTGTGACTTCCCACAGAACCGGATCTCTCGCTTTGGGTGAAAACCGGGGCTTGTTGAACAATCGGAGACTGTGCAGGGGAGCCTTGATGAGAGTCCGCCCTGCTGTCTGCCGAGGCGTTCCTTGCTCGGGCGACTGCTGGGTTCACACCCGGCCTTGGGGGTTGGCCTTGAGGGGGAGGGCCGGCTGGACCCATTGGAGGACCGGGTCTCATAGGTTTATTAGGAGGCCCATAAGGGGGGCCTCTAGGGCCAGCTTGGTCGTTCGGATTCGGGGGGCCTCTGTATCCGTTCTGGGGGTTAGTGGTGCCGGCCTCCCCAGGTGGTCCGACCAACCGTCTCTGATCAGGGGGACCCGAAGAACCGTCTCGAGGCGGGAAGTTTTGGTTCGAAGATGGAGGAGTCGCGTTACTTGGCCGCCTTGCCGCGTTCCTTGGGGCACCAGGATTGCCTGCCGAATCAGCTGGGTATCGGATCTTTGTCGTGTCTAGACAGTAAACCAAGGCGAGATCATTCACAGCTGCCGTAGCAGAGCTTGGCTCTCCACCCACAACCACAACGGTCTTGCCAACTGCCGTCATGCTATGACCGGATCGAGGCGAGGGCGAAGGGCCCATATTCTGGAACGTATACCAGCGGCGAGAGGTGATCCGAAAAGCCGCCAAGTCACCAAGATCCGCTCCTTCCTCGGTACGGCCTCCAAAGATATACATGACATCATCAACAATGGCGGCCGCATGACCTTCGCGCGGGACGGGGATATATCCGATACAGTCGAGCATAGTCCAGGCATTGGTCGTTGGATCGTAGCACCAAACGTCGTTGAACCATTGAAAACCGTTCGTGCCTCCGAACCTAGTTTTGTTTAGTGTCTGCCACCAGTAATCCGGCAGATGGGCTGGACTTACAGGTACATCTTATCGTTGAAAGTTATCATGGAATGGTTTGTCCTAGCAGGGGGAACCTTCACTTGCGGAGGAGTTCCAGGTTCTGTGGTAGCTATCAGCAGATCCCAGCGGTTGTTGGGCATTTGTAACTGGTTCAAGTCGAAAGCTGCCAAGTCATTCATGAAGTATCCTTCTACCTGGCCACCAAAGACGTAGATCTTGGATCCTAGAATATTAAGAGTATGGCCATATCTACCCGCAGGTCGTGGACCGGCCGGCAGAGCTCTTGACCATTGTCGCGTGGCTAAAACTGGTTAGCGAAAACCTTCTTGATGAGGAAAAAGCCGGCGATAGGGATCCTACAAGTATTGAGGAGGTATAGCGTCTCATCGAGGACGTCGGACTCATCGATCTTGGTGTCTCCGCCAAACACAATAAACGCGTTTCCAACCAGCAAACTGGCGTGTCCAACCCTTGGGCCAGGACCCTCTGCCGTCGTCGCAAGAGGGTAGCAGGCCATACTCCCACCAGCTTCAATCATCCATAGGTCACCCCTGACCATCGAGCTGTTGATCAAGCCGCCCATCACATAGATATCGCCCTCTTTAGACGATACCGAATTGACAGCGGCGCCATATCGGGGAAAGGGGCTCGGTTGCGACGTCGTATACGTTAACCTCCTTTGCGACCATGGGTAGAGCGAGGCGTTGGGGTTTGCCATTGGCATCGGGTTCGGGTTTGCGCCATTACGAAACTATGGATTGAAAGTGTTAAGAAGATTCGTCCCATATAGACCAAAGACCTGGCGCAAAGCAATATGACTAGAATTCAATGTGTAAAAATGGTAAACATGGCTTACAGGAAGATCGCTCGGCGGCTGTTGCTGGGGGTCCCGGGATTGCATCTGCAAGGGCGCTTGTTGTTGCCCCTGATGTTGATGCTGCCCTTCCAGGGTCTGGCCTCGTGGGCGGCCATAGTTTTGCTGCTCCGGGCTGCCTACGCTACCGTCATTGTCCAGGGAGTTCAAGCTGCCAGTAGGTGTTGATCGGGAACCCTTCTCGTCCCTGACGCGCGCCGTCGCGCTCTGGGTTGACGATGCCGATCCCGGGGGACCATCTCGGCTGCCTGGCCCTCTGTCGTGATTCTTCTTGGACTTGAAAAGAAAGGCCATGTCTAGTCTCTGGGGCCGCCCTTGGGGGGCAGCGGCGACAAGTTGGTTTCGCCGAGGGCTTCAGGTCGTCGGAAAAGATGGGTCGAAGGGGGGGCGTCGAGGTCGGTGTTCGTCTTTACACACTCGTCTCGTCGTGACTTGGGAGCTCGGGGCGTCCCACAGCGGTCGCACGGGCAATTGGGCGACTCGGGTCCGGGAGGGAGGTGGTACCTGTGGCCGTGACCGTGACCGTGACCGTGACCGTGACCGTGACCGTGACCGTGACCGTACCGTGACAGCGAGCGGCGGGAGGTCGAGCGTGCGCGTAGTAGCAGACGCTTCCAATTAACTAGGAGGCTCGTGCTGGGAGAACCTGAAGGAAAGCACACCAGGAACACCAAAGACACCGGACCGTGACCGTGAACCGTGAACCGTGAACCGCGACAAGCTCACTGACGCTGACGGGGAAGGGAGTTGAAGGCTCGTACGAGTTTGGAGATGGCTGGGGGCAAGCATCGGTCGGTCGGCCTGTCGTCTGTAAATGGAGGTGGACCCGGGGGGAAACAAGCGATCGAATTTCTGCTCAATTGAATGACGGGGATGATGGGGGCCCTGAATACTGCTGGATTGACCTGCTGGGTTGTAACGCAGCAAAAGTAGTTGTAGAGTCTTACTTTTTTGTCGGGTCCCAGCTTGTTTAGGCTCACCTGCACTCTTCCTCTTCCAGGTTCCCCTTTTAGGGGGGGAGGGGGTCCCTGTCAGCACTCAGCGGGCACGCACGCGCCACCCGAAAAAGAGAAGGGCGTCTGTTATTGATTGAGATGATGATTAAAAGAATACCTTGATAATAGAGGGACTGCCAAGCGCCAGCAAGATGTGGGTGGATAACCAACAAGAGTGAACGCTTTTTCACTTGAGGACGAGAAGAATTTCTCGATTGCCCAAGTGTGATGCACAAACTAAGCCAACCTGATGTGATGGAACGGAAACAGCAACCCAGGTGAGGTGCATCTACTGCACCTGCAGCTGCTATACATAGCCCGTACCTGAAGGACAAGATGTTAGCGCAGCCCGGCAGCAAGTGGAAGATGCAGGCTGCAGCCGTGTGAATGGCCGTCCATCCCCGCCCGTCAGAACATCGATGCTGAGATGGGAATCTGACCTAACGGCCTAACCCTAGCAACCTTCCAAAGCGACCATCAAAAGCTTCCAATGGAAAGCATGGCAACTGCAGCCTCCAGCGAAGAAGCGGAGACCTCATGGAAGAAAGCGAACAAAGGGGTTCAGGGGGGGTTCCCGGGCACTTTGTTGGAGTCCCACTGATGCAAGCACTTCACTTCCACTTTGCAATCCTTAACAATTTCGGGTTTCTCCTAATTACCTGGTCGTGTATCTACCTGCGACTTTCTTTTTCATATTCTTCGATCAGGAACAGTTTGACACGGTAAACTGAAGTATACATAGTACTAACTCTTATGCTGATACAGCATAATAAGCACTTTCTCACCACACCTCAGCCGGGTTTTTGGAACAAAAGGATATCCAATAAGAGACCACACTTCCGCCGTGTAGAGGCACAACACTGTTTCGAAGCCCAATAGTGTTGTGACTGTCAAGATCTTTTGGATAATAACACGCCATCCTGTGACAGTTTCAAAAGTCTAACGGTCTGATATCACACAAGTGGTGATTTTACGCACCCTATTTGGCAGATGGTGTTAGGCAGCTGTACCCGTGGGTGTTTGGTGGCCTTGTCTTGTCAAGGCCTTCTTACCATTAAAGAGGGTGGGTATTGGTAAATTAGGCTTGGCTCAACCACACACCCACCGGTAACAGTGCAGAGCCACATCGTATACCCAACACGATAATGTGAGGTCAGATTCCGCCTACCATGCGGCCAAAGACTTCAACATGTTTTCTCTCCCGGTCTTAACGTACAAGGAAGTACACCGGGCACCGGAAACACAAACACGGCAACCCGCTTCGACACCCGCCGTCGAGTCGGGTAGTATGTTCAAAACAACACCAAAAGTACAATGAAGCATTCGAGTCCTTTGCAACCATTGTTGGACCTCAGGCATGTCATCTCTCTGGCGTCTGGGGTCACATCTCAGACCCAGCAGGGTAGCGTGGAACCAACGTTGATTGTTTCATGTTTCTTATTACCACGCACAGACCATCCCGCACTCGCTTCCTGCAAGCATCTTTATTCAAACTTCAGGGGCCGGAAGAGTTGATGCCGATGCGGAGAATAAATCGACATGCCACCAGACCCGGTCCATACGGATGCAGAGAGATATCTCCAAGAAGGTTACCATTCACTGGTTGGATGTAGAGGTAGGATGAAGAAATTCGCTTGATCTTGTTCGGAGCGGGTGTCCTCGGGGTGGCCGGCTCCCGTTCCGGACATTTTCACGTGAAGCTCCGCGGCAAAGGACCGGAGCGCACAGACCCCCTGTCCAGCGATCCCCGATGGCCGGGGCTCCACCTGATATTTCTTGAAATTGGAGTTCATGCAAAAGCATGAAGGTGCGATCAATGCAACTTGAAGCGTTTCCCACAGCCAATAAAAGCAAGGTAAATTCTGTTGAATAATCAGATGTAAATACCACTGCGGACCATCCCGTCTTGTCAACCATCTTTTGGCCATAGGTATAGAATACGGAACGAAGTTGTCAACATCAAGACACAAGCAGGTGAGCAGGAACAACGGGAAGGCTCCGGCGTCTGCCGGCGACACCATGCACGACTACCGATATCTAGCAAATACCGTGGCAGCGTGGATTGCGGTCGAGTGAGTTTTGCCGATTTCGTGTTGAGAGGACTCAAAGGTTATCTAATACTTATGGTTCGATCGTTGAAAATGTGCCAACAGAGATGAGATTGTGTTCGACAAAGGTTGACAAATTGATGATAATCCGTCCTGCGCAGTAGGCATATGAAGAGGTAGTTGGCTAACGACGGGAATCGGATCCAGAATGAGGCGGCGCATGGATTTGTGATATCCTTGAAGCAATCCTCGAGTCCGAGTCCCAGGCCGTTAACTCGGGCACTATCAATAATGAACGGGAAGTCCCAGCTGACACACGCGGAAAACCTAATGGCAACTTTGCGGTGCAGCTACCGAGCTACCTTACCACCGACGGGAGTGAGGCTGAAAGCATAGACCACCATGTGCACTGCATCATCCATCATGTGCGTGCAGGTGCCTCCTTCTGTGGTGACACCGTGACGGTTCGGGCGGTAAAAGAGACGCCAAGGACGCTTTCAGCCTGCCTACCCTCCACTGTTTTCACCTCTCGATGGGCACTCCGCAGTCCGCAGAACCGACTCGTACCTAGCGCTTCAATCCCAAAGGCGAGTGTACATCCGCAGCGCATCCACATCCACGTCTCCATCCACGGCCCGCATCAACCCACTACCACCCACCACGACAACACACGCTCTGCCGACATCATCACGGCCATTGCCAGTTCGAAACGGTGGTTAGGTGTTTGTTTCGTATCGTCCCGGGTCTCACCAACTGCTATCTGCAACAATCCCGGTATACTAGAGGAGACACAGGCAATTCGCTGGCAGTGACAATTGGTAGGCCCCGGTTACACAATGTGGAAGCGCATTTCACCAAATCCATGACCCGCGCGCAGCTGCCTCTGATAGAAGTCTAGACTGACCCAATCCCATCTCTCAAATCTAGACTACGAAGGTCACGACAGCACCACTACTACAGCCGGCTACTACCACCGACTGGCTACCTTAGTCGCACTCCTACCCCACGCGCCATCCGACCTCTGCGTTTCCGTCCCTACTTTCAGATCGTCATCACCTCTGCTGGACATACAGCTTTGGTTTGTATTAAACCTGGATCGCCGACATCACCTTCAAATCACCGTACGCTCGCTGTTTTACAGACTGTTACACCGCTGCTCTGTTCTCGACTCATCCACTACACACCCATACCCGGCCTCGTCGCGGCCTCGAAAACCCGACTCTACCCTCCGGGGACCATGATCTTCGCTTTCGTCTAGTCGCGTACCATGACTACCGTTTCTCTTCACGCCTCCCACCCCGGTTCCGCAGAATTTGGCCAGAGACAGCCCTCAGCTCCCGCTCCCGCTTCTGGCCGTTACGCGAGGCCCGGCCCTTCGTCATCAACTGCTACATCTCCATCCCGCCACACAATGAACAACCCAGCTCGTCAAAGTTCAGTAACAATGTCACAAGTCCATTCTCAGAGGCCAGAAGATGGCAGCCAGCGCGTCGCAACAAACGGGACCTCTCATCCTGCTGCTCAGAACCAGCTGCCACTTCGATCCAACATACAGAGACGCATGTCCGATTCCTCACCAGCGCCCATGTTTCGACGCCCCTCAAGCGCCCCCGACGACAATAACCAAACATCTCCTGGAACCACCTTGCATGGTGGGCAATCAGATGATGACGATCATGTGCCTGTCGCCCGGCCGGCCAAGCCGCCATTACTGCGGTCCAAGAGCGAACACGGACTGCGGTTGGAGAGGGAAAGCCCCATCGAACAAGTTGACGAAGAGTACCATGATTGGGGTGCCAGGCATGGGTTCGAGGACCATTATCAGTCCGAAGAAGTAATCTCTCAGCTTGCAAATGTACGTTGATTTGTGTCCCTGCCTTGGTTGGGATGTCGCTAACCGTGCGCTGCGCAGAGCTGGTACATGTACTTTACCGATAAGCGACATGAGACAACAGGGAAGCCAAAGACACCCGCTTTCGAAATCCAAGACTGGCGTATGCGCGATCGCCTAAAAACAGTTTCTGCCGCGATAGCAGTCTGCTTGAACATAGGAGTGGAACCACCAGACCAACTTCGCACCACCCCGGGTGCCAGGCTTGAAGCTTGGCAAGATCCGACGGTGCCTCCTGTTTCCAAGGCACTGGAGAATATCGGCAAAGCTTTGCAATCTCAATATGAGACCCTCGCTATTCGGACGCGCTACAAGCAGTATTTGGACCCGTCCATCGAAGAAACCAAGCGGTTCAGTGTCTCCCTCCGAAGAAGTGCCAAGGATGAGCGTGTTCTCTTCCATTACAATGGACATGGAGTGCCTAAGCCAACAGCCTCGGGAGAAATTTGGGTTTTTAACAAGAACTATACGCAGTATATCCCCGTCTCTCTCTATGACCTTCAGCAATGGTTGCAGGCGCCCACAATATATGTGTGGGATTGCTCCGAGGCAGGCAATATCCTCAGCAATTACCACCGTTTCGTTGAAAAGCACGAGCAAGAAGAAGAGGAGGCGGCACAACGGGACCCAAATCACGAAAAGATCAACTTCCGTCCCTACATCCATCTGGCAGCCTGCAATGTCAAGGAGAATCTGCCAACCAACCCCGACTTGCCTGCTGATCTCTTCACTTGTTGCTTGACCACCCCTATAGAGATGGCACTCTGGTTTTTCTGTCTGCAGAATCCCCTCAAAACCAAAATATCTCCCGAGCGAGCCAAGAAGCTGCCAGGGCGGCTTCAGGAGCGCCGGACGCCCCTCGGAGAACTCAACTGGATCTTTACTGCCATCACAGATACCATTGCATGGACCACGCTACCACGCCATCTCTTCCGCAAATTCTTTAGGCAAGATTTGATGGTTGCTGCTCTTTTCCGAAACTTCCTACTCGCACAGCGCATCATGCCTGTGTACAATTGCCATCCTCAGTCGTATCCCGAGCTGCCAGATACACGTCAGCATCCCCTTTGGGAAAGTTGGGACTTGGCTGTCGATCTGGCGCTTGCCCAGTTGCCGGACCTAGAGAGAAAGGAGAGTGAAGGGATAGAGTATGAGTACATCAACTCGTCATTCTTCGCGGAGCAGCTTACAGCATTCGAGATTTATCTGACGCGAGGGGATGCTTTGTCCCAGAAGCCACCTGACCAGCTTCCAGTTGTTCTGCAAGTATTGCTCAGCCAGCAGCATCGAGTACGAGCTCTGGTTCTACTGGCAAGGTTCTTGGACCTTGGGCCTTGGGCAGTGCAACTGGCGCTCAGCATTGGCATCTTCCCGTACGTCTTGAAACTCCTCCAGTCGGCGGCGCAAGACCTCAAGCCAGTCATGGTGTTCATCTGGACTCGCGTTCTTGCGGTCGATATCTCATGCCAGCAAGACCTTATTAAGGATAGTGGGTACAATTACTTCGCGGCCATAATGAAGCCGCAAGATACCCTTTCCATGGTCAGCGTCGGGTTCTTGGATGAGCACAAGGCGATGTGTGCGTTCATCTTGGCTATGCTGTGCAAAGACTACAAGCCTGGACAACTCGTCTGCAACTCAACCGACATCATGTCGTATTGCTTATACCATATCGCACGTCCAGAAGGACCCCTCTTGAAGCAATGGTCTTGCCTCTGCATCAGCCAGCTTTGGAAGGACCTTCCTGAAGGTAAATGGAGGGGCATTCGGGAGAACGCCACTGCGAAGCTCTCCCACCTTAGTAGGGATCCCAACCCTGAAGTACGGGCAGCTATGGCGCATGCTATGACCACGTTCCTAGGAATCCCGGATCTCACGGACGAAGTTGCGAGGATCGAGGAGAGCGTTGCCTGGACCATGCTTGAACTGGCCACAGACGGTAGCCCGATAGTCCGGAAAGAACTTCTAGTCTTTTTCTCCCATTTTGTTCTGCGTTATGAGAGCAAGTTCCTGGTAGCCGCCTTCGAGCAACTATCCGAGGAGAAGGATTATCTTGCTTCGCCTCCACCAGAGGATGGCCAGGATCACAGAATGGGGTTGCACTATGCTCGCCGAGAAAACCGGGAGAGAGATGGCAGTATCAAACCATCGGCATTTGGTGTAGCGCATGATTCAATTTTCGCTGCCTGCTGGAAACACATCAACATCTTGAGCGTGGATCCACATCCCGAAACCCAGAGAGATGCCACTATCATCGTGGACTATGTTCACAATGCACTTCTCCAGTCACCGCTTACAACGCAAACGCAAAATCTCATGGACGAGATCCTCCGGCGCTCTAGAAAAGTGTCGAGGGGTGATATGAGCCAGAGAAGTGCCGCTGCCGGCACTCACGCTGCAGTCGCACAGCCATTGCCTTCGCCAGGCCTTCTCAAGAGGACTGCAAGTTACCTGTTTGGCCCCCTCATGGGGACCCTGGATCCTTCTTCAACCTCGATTCCGCCAGTGTCCCCTGGGCTACAAAGAAGCGGATCTCGAAGCAGCCGAAAAGGTCCGGGTCTGGATTCTGCGCCGCCTGAGCAAAATGATCAGGCTACATCACCAGCAAACTACCACGTTGCCAACGAACCGTCGTGTTCTGGTTACAAGGAGCGCAGCATGAAAGATCTGCCTAGCCTACCATTGGTGAGCACGTTCTTGGACTGGTCAATAGAGTATTTCCGCGAGCCGCAAATGAAAGCATCGGAGGCCGAAGAGCCTGGCAGCCACGAGTACAACGAACGCCTATGGCGCCGTTCACGCAACGAGGCCGTTTTGAGGGAGACCCAGCCCCAGAAGACGCATGCGCGAACCCACAAGTGGAATAACCAAATCGGCGTCATCAATAATGGCTCGCAACCGGCTAAACTCAGCTTCCATCAGTTTGAGAATTACGTTGCCGTCGCAGATGACGGAAATACAGTGAACGTGTGGGACTGGAAGCAGGGTACCCGAAAGAGTCGCTTCTCCAACGGCAACCCAGAAGGGTCTAAGATCTCAGACATGAAGTTCATCAACGAAGATGATCAAGCGCTGTTGATGACAGGATCATCAGACGGTGTGATCCGCGTTTACCGGAATTACGATAGCAATGAGAACATCGAGCTGGCATCAGCTTGGCGTGCTCTGACGCACATGGTTCCGTCCAACGTCAACTCGGGCATGGTATTCGACTGGCAGCAGGTCAAGGGTCAGGTGCTCGTGGCCGGGGATGAGAGGGTCATTCGGATCTGGAATGCCGGTCATGAAATGTGTACCCATGAAATTCCAGCACGATCCGGCTCCTGCGTTACTTCGCTCACGTCAGATCAGATGACAGGCAACATCTTTGTTGCTGGATTTGGCGACGGAGCGATCAGAGTGTTTGACACCCGTATGAAGCCGCAGGAGGCCATGGTTCGGAAATGGAAGGACGAGAAGAGGCAGTGGGTGCGATCGGTGCACATGCAACGCGGTGGGCAGAGAGAGCTGTTGTCGGCCAGCCGAAATGGCAAGGTCCGGTTGTGGGATATCCGCATGGACCAGCCGCTCAAATCGTTCCAGACCACCAAGGACGTACTCAGGACGGCGAGCACTCACGAACACTTGCCTGTCTTTGCTGTGTAAGTTTCCCCTTTTTGTGGTCATCATACTCGGAATCAGTTACAGTGACTAACACGTACAACCCTTAACAGTGGAACTTCCGCGCATCTCGTCAAGGTCTTTGACTTTGATGGCCATGAGCTGACTCGGATTGAGCCTTACTCCAGCTTCCTTCAGGGCCACAAGGACACGCCCATCTCTGCTACCGCATTCCATCCTCACCGGATGGTTTTGGGTTGCGCTGCTCGTGGGGACTATCACGTCAACCTGTTCGCTTGTGGGAACGAGAAGGTTGGCCCCTTCTAAAATCACGAGAGGGATGGCAACCTCCAAGTCACGAAAGGCACAAGAGGGTTGGCATCCTCGGGTCTATGGAACCGCTCATGACTTCTGGCAAGCTACATCTGCCCGTTGACTTTCTCATGGTCTGTGACTGTGTACATCCATCATCTCTTATGGCACTCTTCTTGAGTTCGTCACGTCTTGGTTCATTTCGAGCATCCCAATCATCATTGTTAGAGGAACTTCCCTTTTCAAGCTTGCCCCGTTCACATGGTGATGCGTCTTCCTCTGGTCGTTGGTTTCTCTTCACTGCATGGGAATCTGGTTCTGTTATGTTTATGTTCATGTTTATGTTTCACGTTCAAGGATAATGCGTATATGAAGAAAGAAGAAACGAGTGTTTCCAAGGAGGTTGAGTAGAGGCGAATTAAAGCTCGTAATGGGAGCCAGGAACCGGAACAGAAAGGTTTGGGGTGAAAAGGCGATTGGAAGTTTCCTCTCTGCCTGATACACCACAATCAATCTTGCTCACCCGTGGAGAGTGCGTGGAGGGAAGGAGGGTGAATAGGGTTTTCCAGTGGTCTTTAATCAGCGGTGTTTTATCTTATTCCAAGGAGCGAATGGTTACCGTCCTTTCTGCATTGTTATTGTGACTTCGTGATATGTAGAGATAGAATTGTTCGAAATCTACCTCTAGTAGATAAAGTCCTGTTCAGAAATACAAAATATCTGGGGGATAGTACAAGCGTACTTCCTTAAAATCTCAGCATACCACGACCCTCGACCCTCCATACTTCTTGTTTGCCTTCCGATTCGCTTCCAATTGTATTGTTATCAAACTCTTTGCACAACAACCCTCTTATAAGTTTTTGTGAGAAGCACCTCCATCACCGAGTTGACTCTTCTCAGTTGCTAAGCCAATGTAGCCAATCATCATACATGGACGGTGAAAAGTGGAACCCCTGGCGAGCTCAGCTGCAGCCTGACCCCGTTTTACGAATACACTAGGACCTGAGCTCGTCTCGTCACTGTTCGTTATGCCAGACGCGTAAAATACCAAACCTCAGCTTCCACTTGCAACCTGAAGCAATTTCATCTCAGGCTTCAATTGGCACAACAACCACAAACGAGCTGCTTGATTAAGTTGGCCAAGCTTGCGTAGTACTAACCGTCCTCGACAAGACTGATCTAGCTACCGCAAGTTGTCGCCGAACTTCGCAACGCAAAACAACCAGCCGGACAACGAGCCATGGGCCCCAAGCGAGACCATGATGCCCTCACGCACTCCGACAACGAGGAGCCAGCACCGCAACCCGTAGCCAAGCGGCGGAAAGAGCATTCGTCTGCCAAATCCAAAACAACGGAGCCAAAGACCGACTCTACATATGGCCAACGCGCCGCCTTCCCTGGCCTCGATGAGCCTGCTGCGCTCAGCGACGAGGACCTGGAATTCGAGGACCAAGGCGATGCCCTCGCCTATCTCCGTTCTGTTCGGTAAGCTTCCCCTTCCTGGATACTCTTACCTCCCCTCCCTTCGCAAAGAGATACCCGTTAGGCTAAACAATCTTCATCTCTCCCACTTGGCAGACCATGATGACTGACGATGGTAAGTAACACAGACAAGAAGCGAATGGTATACCTCACCTCCTCGTAGCTCCCAAAGCCGGGCCGCAACTTCCGCCCTACCTCTCGAATAGTGATTCGAACAACAACGTAGACCGAAGCATCTACCACGACGGCCTCGGCGATTCCCGCGGCTACTACCAAGACGGCGCCTACACGGCCGCACCCGACAACCTCCTCCAGTCCGTCCCCGAAGACGATGACAACGCCGACGATTACTACGGCCATGGCCACGGCTACGGCGGCGCCAACTATGACGACGACAGCGACAGCGACTGGTCAACCAGCACATCCCGCGCCCACGCCCTCTTAGCCACCAACCGCCACCTGGCGCGGGAAGCCTACTTCGCCTCTCTCATGACCCAATTCTCCGCGCTCCGGGCCATGCTACACCAAACCCCGCCCCCCTCCCTCCTCTCCTCCTTGGACAAAGAGCACGGCTACCAAGTCGGCTCCTTCGGCCCCAAGTCCTGGACCTTTCGAGTCTGGACGAGACGCATCCGCTACACGGACCCGATCCCCGCGCAGGTGGCCGCCATGGACCGCTTCGGCGCGCTGAAGCTTTTGCGCGTGATCCTGGGCGGGAAATTTATCCGTCGGGGTTGCGAGCTGCGCGAGCGCACGAGTCGGTGGATCTGGGCGCTGCTGGCGCGGTTGCCGGATAGGGGGGAGATGGATCATACGGATATCGGGTGGGTGAGAGAGCTGGGGAAGAGGGCGGTGTTGATGATGGTGAGCATTGCGCAGATGGCGGCGTTGAAGGAGGAAGTGGAGGGGGATCTGGAGGGGCAGGATCTGCTGGTTGGAGATGATGATGGTGAAGAGGAGGAGGAGGAGGAGGTTTTGGTTGAGTTGGAGCCGGATACGAGTAATGAGGGTGTTGGTCGCGTGGAGGAGGAGGAGGAGGAGGAGGAGGTCAGCAATGAGACGGAGGGTCAAGCGGCTGAGAAGGACGGGGTTGAACCGGCTACCGCCGAGGACTCTTTGGCAGCTGCGAACCTTGTTACTGAGGATCAGGGCAACTCGAGCAAGGTTGAGCAACAACGCCAGGAGCAAGAAGAGACGGGGGAGGGAGAGATTGACATGGACATCGATGATGGAGAAGTGCTCGATGAAGAGGGAGGCCCCGACCCTCCTGCTTCCTCATCAAAGGATGATGCCAAGGCTGACATCGCGGCTGCAAAGGCACGATTGCTTGCTCAGCTTGATGAAGATACTGCTGCTGCTGACGCTGAAGCTCAGCAACGGGAAGATGAGTTGACGAGACAACGCCTGAACATGAGAGCGACGCTGAATATGATTCTGACTGTCGCCGGTGAGTTTTACGGTCAGAGAGATCTACTCGAGTTCAGGGACCCCTTTCCCGCTCTTTAGAGGTAGGAGGTCTTTTTACGGGTTCATTTTCAATCCCAGAGTCGGTTGGTTTTAGTCTGTCTTCAACTCTTGAGATGGACGAAAATCGATAAGAGACAGTATGCGTTTTACGTCGGGCATTCCGTGATGAGGGACTCAAATGCGGTTATGTTGAGCCACGTATAATAGGCGTGGATCGAACATTCTTTGTTTGGCTTCCAAATGAGCTCTAGATTATAGGTATGCAAGATTTCTCAACCGCTTCACGTTCCCTTGAGGGTTCGATATAACTACAAGATAGACGATACACAAGACCTACTTCCTGCTGTCAATGATCGATGATGTAAAACGCATGCCAAAAAGACGACAGGAAAAAGAAAGCCACTGACGCGTATGCTCCTGCTCCCATCTAAACGAGTGCTTGCCGGCCTCAACCACCTCGTAACAAACTCCATAAACGCCATACAATATGCGAACAATGCACCGATGCGTAAAAGTCAGGTCGAGGTAGAGAAGGACAAGCGTGCAAAAAGAAGAACCCCACCACCATGAAATCAAACAAACACAAACAAGGAACCGCCAGACTAGGTCACCTCTAATCCATATCCATATCTCCACTTCTTCCCCCACGATGACTTAACCCATAATCCAAAAACGGCGCCTCCTCGAAATCATCTACCGGGGCGACACCAGAAGACTGGGGAACATAGCCGCCAAAGTTAATCGTAGTCTGAGTAAACTGACTCCCCTGTCTCTTCGGCACCGCCATCACCCTATCATTCGCAATAGTATTCGTCCTGCTGCCTCCACCACACCAAGCCATGGGCTCCAAGCTGCGCGGGGCTCTCTCCTCATCTTGGTCATCGTGAAACTCCTCGCGACGACGCCAATCCATGTCTTCTCCAAAGAGTCCTGCACCGCCTTCTTCCGAGCTTCCGTCTTCGTGGATGCGCTTGCGATTGGCGGCATCCTGGACCTGCTGCGTCGTCGCAAAGCGGACTGAGGAAGGGTTGGAGAAGACGCTGCTGGCGTTGGAATCCTGGCTGCTTAGAGCAGAAGCGCTATTGTCGTCTTGGACGGCGTACCCGCCGATTTTGTGGATCCCGCAAAAGGGGGTGAGTTCCCGGTTGGCACTGCTGGCGGCGGTGACGGCGGGAGCGGGAGGCGCGGCCGATACCGGACGGTTGTGGCCGTTGTTTCCTGCAAATGCACTTGCGCCGGACCCCGCAATGTGATTGCTGTTGGTGTTGTTGCTGTCGTCCATCCAGGAGGGGAAACCCGATGCGATCTTGCCGGTCTTGTAGCCCTCCGGAACGGACTTGCGCACGCGCATGCCGACGTTCAGGAGACTGGATCGGATGGTGGGCGGGAGGACTGGGCCGTTTAGGGGAGCGGCCTTTGCAGACGATGCGCTGCTGGTAGAATCGAATTGTGAGTCATCGCTGGACGGTGTGATTTTGAAAAAGGAGGTGATGGAGCGCTGGGCCGGGTCGCTCGCTGCGCCGGCGAACTGGCGTTTGGTTCGGGAGTTGGACATTGGAATTGGTTGGGTTTGTCGGGTGGTGGATCTACGCCGTCGGAGAATATTAAGGTTTAAATCTCGGAAGGTGATTCGAAACTGAAGTTCGCAATCAGATTGAAGGTTTGTGTATGGGATTGAAGAGGTTTTGTTGGGTGTTGTCGGGAGAGTTTCCTTCTGGTGGGAGGATCAAGAAGAGATGACGTGGGGAAGTGTTTCGAAGGGGGTGTGACAAGGATGTGGGGAGAGCCCTGAAGATGCAAGCACTCAAGCCAGTCAACCAACCGTTGGGTCGCTGGGGCTTGGGGTTCACAACTCACAAGTCGGGTTGCCGGAAGCGATCCAGTCGCATGAAGGGGGTGACCCGTTCATGTGGGTCTGGGCCTCTTGCATTTGACGTTGAGGACCTTGACGAGCACTCACGATCAAGTTGTCTTTGCCGACCGCCGTAGATGACACCAGCTCCACTCTCATTGGCCAGACTTGGCATCTTCGGCCTTGGCAGGCTTCAACGCCAACAACAAGATGACGATGGTGATGATGAGAATGCTTAGGAACTCCGGATTCTTTTGTTTTGATATCCTAAAGTTACTCTTGAGGGCATTATACGTAGTTTGAACTGTCGTGGGGTGTCCCTGGACAGCTGTAGTCTATGCTAACAAGCAGGTCTTTCCTCAACTCACATGCCATTCCAAAACAGGCACGCGAGCAAAGCCGGACAACTGTCTGCATGCGTAATGCATACAAGTATCGAGAACTCTGAGCGCTCTGAGCGGCATTCCAAACGTCACTGTTGGATGATGTTCCCGTCTGTTTTGGTATTCTTTCGGCTGGTTACAACTAAACTTTGTCTTGTCTCAAAGGCACTGATTGGGCGTGTTGCATATTGAATTGAGTTCATTCATCTGCGTGATCGTGCTAGGTGTGCCGCACTGCGTTTGTTGGTTGATGGCTTTCTTTCATCGATAAAGAATTACAAGGCGGGTTACAGTTGGTCATTTGTTGCGCCTCGGGTCTTAGCTTGAGCAGTTGATACCTTTGCTCTGGAACCATGTTGACGAAGCAATGACTGAAGCCTACAATGCCAGAAAACAATGCGGTATGGGAGCCAGTAGCAGAATGGACACTTGTGACGGGCTGGCTCATGTGACAGAAGCAAGATTCACCGTCGATTTCGCCGGCATAGCAAAGCTGCGAGTATTGTCGTAATTCACTACCCTAGCAGTCTGGTAGAGATATCATTTTGAACACGTCCCCAACCTACTTTTCAGACCGCTATTTGACCCTATACATCTACGCATTACTTCAGAGATAACATGGGGAACATAAACGCGACATACACCGGCCAAAACAGGGATATCACAACAAATCACGCCAACGGAAGATGGTAGGACGCGTGTCGTGGATTCTCGTAGATTCGTACCGGAGCAGTGTCCTCCCTATAGCCCGTCCACTGCGCTAGGTATGGAAACAACCAAGCAATCCGCATCGCGGCTTGTCGAATGCCATCCGCCCATGGCACGTCAGTCGGGGCAATCATGAAACATGTGCCTTCTCCCGCTATCCACCCACGCAGGCTGACCTGCCTGAACATCAAGACAACAGCAGGAAACGCGCGCAAATCGAGAAAGACGAAGATGATGCAAGATATCCGGACCCAAAACGCCCTCCCAATTTTGTTGTGCGCGCGAGGTAAATCTTCTGGTGAATCCATCTTCTTCCGCAACGAGATTGATTGACGATCGAGTATGATATTTCTATGCGCCCGACTGGCAGAAGCCTTGCAGATACCAAGATGTCCCCATTACCACGCCGTTATGCTGAAGAAAAGAACCGACCCTCGAACCGTCTACTTGCGGCGGAAAGAGCAGCCCTCGGTAAGGCGAGCCTTACCACCGGTGGGCTGGCAGAGGACAGTGGTGCAGCCCTGGCAGATGACGACGGTCTGGGCGTGGGAGAAAACAGTGGTGATGGTGAAGCAGCCGGGGCACTTGACGTCCATGAAGAAGGAGCGGGGAGCAGGCACAAGGGTCTGCGACGCGTTGTCAGTATCATGTCGCGGCTAGGAGGCCGTGGTGTATTGATATCGTCGGGGGTCGATGCGGCATACCTTGAGCTTGTGCTTGCGGGCCTCAGCAGCCGGGCTGGGGTTGAGGAGATCAACGGCGAGAACCTTGAGAAATCAAACTGTCAGCATCACAGCCTATGTCTAAACATCAAAACAACCCCATTTCCATCAAATCCTGCCCTTTTCTCGTCGTCTTTTTTCGCCCAGATGTCCGCCGAGGTCGTTGTTTTCGATTTCCTCCGCTGTTCCACCTGTTCCTCCGTCCAAGTGTCGATGCACATTTCCCGTCGTCGAAAAGGGCCCAAAATCCATTTCCATCGCCAAAACTGCAAAATCAAAAATGGCAGGGTCTTACCATCTTGACTGATTATTCGATGTCGAGACAACGAGCTTTCGGTTGAATGATGAAATCTGGTGGGATTGGCGGCAGATTTGTGCTCGTTGGTGGTTGAAAAAGAGGGGAGGTCGAACCTAGCAAGACACAAAAGTTCAGGCAAATTTTCGGTCTGTGAGGAGCACACGCAAAAGTGGCTAGGCTGGCAGGCGACAGTTAGGGCTCGCTTTTTGTACCAATCAGAAACCCTGCTGCACAGACCTTGGCCGTCAAAGTGGGGCCGGCGATTGCCACCTTCGCCAAGTGCTCTCTGATTCAAAGGCTCACCCAGTGGCGCGGGGGGTGTACAAGGCTCTCGCTGTGACGCTGCATTCCCCGGGGGCGGGGGGGGGGGGAGGCGGGGCAGTGATGAGATGGGGATGTCAACACAGAGGAGCAGACCGCCCGCGGAGTGGACATGCCAGCGAGGCCAGACAGCTCCAAAGGGGTCGTCACTTTCTTTCTCTTTCGAATCGCAAAGCGACATCTTCGTTCCAGGCAACTATTCTTACAAATACACTACCGAGGTCGCGGCGATAATTCCACAGTTGCCTAACGGCTACCCCTTAGATCCCAGGCCCATCCCGTTTCACAAGCTCGACAAGCTCCCTGAACATCATCGACCTTCTCCCTAACACTCCGCAATTTGCCCCTCCTTCAAGCCGACACTACCCCTTGACCGCCACGCACGTTCGAGATGGCCGCCCCGGGAGACCAGCGCATAGCTGTTCCTATCGACGACCCCAACGCCGACACAGAATGGTGAGAGACAGAGAGGCACATCCTCGCGGTCAAGGCCCGCTTACAGTTCTGTAGGAACGACATCCTTCGCAAGCATGGCGTCATCCCCGAGAAGCCCCCCAGCCCGACGCCTATGATCCAAGAAGCTATCGAAGAAGCGCGTCGACTTGCACACGAGAACAGACTTGAAGGCAAGGACCTGGATGAGCTTGACGAGCTTGAAGACGAGGAGGACGAAGAGTTTCTGGAGATTTACCGCCAGCAACGGATGAAGGAGCTCAGCGCACTGCAGAAGAAGTCGGTACATGGCAGCGTCTATCCCTTATCCAAGCCCGAGTACTCCCGCGAAGTCACCGATGCGTCACAGAACGGACCGGTGTTTGTCCTCCTTACATCCTCCTTGGGCACCAATGTCGAGTCGAGAGTTCTGTCAGAGCTGTGGCGCCAGGCGGCACGCGAGTACGGCGACATCAAGTTCTGCGAAATGAGAGCGTCGCAGGCCATCGAGAACTACCCCGAGCGCAACTGTCCTACGATCTTGGTCTACAACAAGGGGGATATTGTCAAACAGGTCGTAACACTCATGACAATGCATGGTGTCAAGACCAATATGTTGGACATCGATAACCTGCTCGTCGATGTTGGGGCGATCCCTGACAATGACATGCGGGTTGCCAAGAGGAGGAGAGAAGTTCAGGAGGCGGAGGAGGAGAAGCTCTTTAGCAAGAACATCAGAAGCACCTCTGACCACAAGGAAGAGGACGACGATGACTGGGACTGAGTCGGGCATGTCATAATACGCCACATCTCATCGTGCCATCCCGGCAGCCCGAGCGAGGAGACACGATACCATTCCGAGGTCGAACTCAGCATGCTCGATCACAGAGAAAGGCCACACGAAAAGAACAAGGGGCCTTCATGTACGCCGGTGCCATACCACGCCGCGTACCAGTTACGATTCACCGGACATAATGATCACTAGACGTTTTAATCGGAGCAGATGCTCCAATACCAAAGTCCCCAAAGTTGTAAATGCCTTATTCAGATGGGCGTTGCCGGACCTTATACTCCGGTTTCAACTCTGTAGCAGGAGTTCATCGAACTTAACTCCAGACACTGACCCGAGGAGGCTCAACAGCTGACTTTGACCGTTCTCACATTGCCCCTTTTCATAGGGAGGTTCATCAAAGGTATGGAGCTGACATATGTAGAGGGATATCAGAACGTGTCCATGGTGTAATGGTACACTTCAGATTGGGGGAAATTGATAAGATAGCAGATCGTCGTCAGGTCTACAAAACCGACCGTTGACTAGTGTATGCGCCTCCTTCCTCTTCTGTACATACGTCGAAGGTCATGGCCTTGACTCGCTTCCAACAAGCGCGCGGTCCAAAGGTGATAGACGGGTGCTTCGAGTTTCCAGCTCTCTTGAATTCCCTCTTGGCTGAGGTCTGCCACCCTAACCCTGTCCCGTGCCTTTAGGAAAGCCTTTAAGAGAGGCACGTAGCTGTCTATTCCTTACTATCTCATCCATCTCCAAGACCCCCGCCGTTGTGCCTTTCTGCCATGGAGTTTTTAATCATGTCGTCGATCGAAGTTCAAAAGCCGAGTAAGCCTCAACGGGCACTGCTTATCTTCCTCTACCCCAGGAAGTGTATCTACCAGCTACCTTACCAATAACTGTGGGTGGTGGGACTGTTGATGGACCCTCTGTTGTTGTTAACGCCAAGACAGAGAGCCAATGTTTACCCCTCGCTCCCCAGTACTTGTTCTCCTTGTGAATGGTATGCCCGTTCACCGAGCAACCGGTAATCAGATTTTAAAGAGCAGCTCTTCCCTGGGCTGACGCTCATTTTGCTCCTCCAGACATATTCCGTGTGGTTTTCAATACCGATCTTGGGTCGATTAAGCGCCTTCAATCGTGGGATCAAGCTATTCGCTATGCGCTCAATTTTTGCAGCTTTGGATTGGCCTGTCGGTAGGTGAGGCTGGAATCAAGGTGCGCCATCAGGCACACAAGGAAGACGAGGCAGAAAGGTTGTTCGTTATAAACTTTCAGCTCGTTACCCCTCGCAGACATGAAACTTTCCTCAGATCAATCTCAACACCAAACCGCCCATCCATTTGAACCTTAATCAACTTGTGCGGAGATTTATAACCATGGCGCCCGGTCAGTATGCTCACTGCAACTTCTGGCATAATCATGACAAAAGCTGATTTTCTGGCAGGAGGCCCATCGCAGTCCGGGGTTATCAGCGGCCGGGTGACCAAGTCAGTGCCGTCAACTCCAGGAAAGCCAAAACCATCACAGAGTAGCAATACTGGCAACACTGGCACCGGGAGATCTGGGAAAACTCCCAAGTGGAAATATGGTTTCTGTCCGAAATGCCGCTTCGGCCATCTCGTGAGGAAGCAGATCAACCCGGACCATCCCAACCAGGACATTGCCGGGAAGTATCGACTCAGCTGCAGCGACAGAGAGAGAACGGGTTGCAAGCATTACGAGATCCGGAACACAGACCCAATGCTTACAGCTCCACCAACTCCCTCAAACAAGCCCATCTGCCCTCAGTGCACAATGGGTCGACTCGTCAAGAAGTGCTTGAATCCCTTCAACTTCAAGGAACAATGGATGGAATGCGACAGAAAAAACGCACCGGAACGGCCGTGCGACTACCGACAAGACGTGCACGGCAAAGCACTTGAGAATACGGGGGTGGTACCCGGAACACAACCCATGGGACGCCCCTCTGACCACCGTACAGATGGGAGGAAGCTGGACAAAGGGAAAGCGCCGGAACGGCCAGGCCCAGCGAATACAGCAAATCCAGGAACACGGGGTCCAGAACCCGAGGCTGGACCATCTCGAGCTGCAGAAAGGGTTATAGACCTTACTGAAGATGGAGAGTTTACGCCCGAAAGAACACCTTCACCAGTGCCTGCCGCTCTTACTGTCAGCGCCGCCACGGCCGTCGAGTCCAATGACTCTGCCTCTGGCCCTGGGAAAGGCACGAAGTCCAGGCTCGTCGAGACGGCCGCAGATATTCTTTCTTCCCAAACCGTCATCGATCTGGTCTCGGATATGTCGTCGCAGGCGTCTGACATGACGGGGCCAGGGGAAGGTTCATCCAAACAGGCGGAAACTCTTGCAGAGCCTCACAAGCAGCCGGCTGGCAAAAAAGCTGACGCATATCTGGACGAATTCGACTCTTCCGATGATGAAGAGCTTGCCCACTTGACCGATTACATCTACACTTCTGCACGAAAACCAACGCCGCAACTAGGTGTAAAGACAGAAGCTCCCAGCAGCCCTATAGCGAAGATTGAGAGGGATGATTAATATCAGCTGGGAGTCTACACTGAAACATCCCAATTATACAGGGTTTTCGGTTGAAAGTGGTTAAAGGGATCGCAACAATGGAGGCGCATGCGCGGGAGCAGCCGACGGGACAGGCACCCGTGGCGCCGGAAAGGAGCACAAACCGAACACGGTCGGGGTGACCGAAACAAATCATGGGAGACCACCCAGCGTGTCGAGGACGCACGAAAGCACGAGCCATTTCGGTATTTAACGTTATCTGACGCCATCAGTGGGGCTCCACTTACAAACTTTGTGGGGTGCAATGTGGGGCAGAACATTAAGCTCCGCGTCAGATGTCTGCAAACGCGTCTCGATGTTTATCGTTCGAAGCGCGTTGAGGGTGCCGAATGCAATTAAATGCGCAGAAGACGCGTCTGTTCTGGAAGGAAGTTGCCCAGGATTCCCGGATCAGTCTTGCCTCGATCCGGTCTCACGCATGGACTTTTTGCCCGTTATTTACTGGTAATTACGTACAGCTCGGAGACCATGGAGCAATCACTCACCGTTTCTTTTCTTCCCTTTTTCTTTCTTCATTAATATCTGCAGCTGCTTTATCCAAATCAGCGAACCGACCCGGAAGTACGGGACTGCAGCTTGAAACATTTTACAGTTTCTCGTTTTCTTTTTGACACATTCTCACTTCCGCTGCCAATTGTCTTAGACAGTTACCAACCACATCTTGTCCAATCTCGTCTGCTCTTCCTCACCCTTGTCTCACACCATATAGCGGCTTGGGTAAGGTAACAGAACTTTGATCCGGGCTGCCCCCTCCCCCGCCTTGTGCTCACACTACATACTGGTTTCCGTTGGTCGATCCATTCCACATTCCTCGGCCAATTCCTTTTATCGATATTATCACCACCACACGATAATACCACCGGCAGGGATTCCGTCATGGAGGTGGACGAACCCACCTTGCCGCCTTTGCCAGTCCCGGACGAACTGCCCGCCTTTACCACATATATCCCAGGGGAACGCAAACGGTCCCGTGCCTGCTATGCCCCCCCTCCTCCTTCGCCTGGTATGAGCAGCTCTAGTGACCCTGCATACTTCTCGAGCGACGATGATCCAGCTTTGGACAACTACTTGCAAGAGCGGCGGAAGAGGCGATATGTGGGCTCGTGGTTCGACCAAGTACCGGCATCCTCCGACTCTATCATGGGCGACGATGCAGATCCCGGCCCATCGTCAAATCCCCGACACAAGCGACACTTGAAGCGACAACCCGATAGCGGCGTCTGGGTCGGCCAAGACGCAGTAACAGACACCGATGGTGATATCGACCTACCGCCACTTGCTGCGCGACTCCCTCTTCCTTTTCCAGGCGTCAAACGTATACCGAAACTTAGTTCAGAAGAGCAACGCGCACAAAACGTTGTCCTAGCATGTGTGGACGATGGTCGGGAAGACGTCGATCTGAGGTGAGCCAGCGGGTTCAACGCACCACCCCTTTCGCGGATAGTCATTGTGGAGGAGGACATGCTAACTTTTGGTAGCCAAATGGGCTTGGCCTCGATCTCCGACTCCGTTCTTGAACCACTTGCGGGCCTGACTCCGATCCCTGTCGTGGAAAAAGATGTTCCATTCGAACCCCGAGACCCGAGTCTTAAGCTTTTCTTGGGAAACAATCAGCTGTCGACGTTTCCCAGCGCTCTTCTCAACCTTCAGCACTTAACCGTGCTCAGCCTTAGAAACAACAAGCTGACCGAACTGCCGCCCGCCATTGCAAAGTTGACGAATCTGACAACCCTCAACATCGCCAACAATCGGTTGCGCCACTTACCGGGAGAGCTGATCGATCTAATGGAGTGTGCCAGTGGACTTCACACCCTGAATATTCACCCTAATCCTTTTTTCCAACCAAAACACCGGCAATACATCCTGGAGGATGACTTCCTGGAATACAAATACGAATGTCGTACAAGGGGGCGGGGGACTCACGGATTCCTAGTAGACCGGGACCAGGGCGAAAACTTCACACTCTTCACTACGGCACTACGCGCCCGCACACCGGTCCAATTCTCCAACAGTGCCGGCCACGTTCTCAGCAAGTTCATTTTTCCCGATATGGCTCAGCGTCTCACGGATAGCTCGAAACTGCTGGAAACAGAAGACTTTGAGTTCTTGGCCATGCCGCAAACTGTTAAGCAACACCTTGAATCGTTGGGGCAGTCGAAGCGGTCTTTCCGACCCAAAGGCCCATCATCGCTTCTCGCAACAGCAATGCGAGTTGCAGCACACTCCAAGGACGCAGATACACTGCCGGACCTGCTAAGGACTGACGGGTGTCCCTCACATCTTGCTGATCCGCTTGAACGTACCATTACGGTCAGTAAGATGGGTGGTCAGCATTGCTCGGTTTGCAAGCGGGAGACACTCTGTCCCGTGACTGAGTGGATCGAGTTTCGCGAGATTCGGAGCACGACCGTTGAAAAAACGATGACTGCTTCAGGCGGATCATTCGAGACGCGAATTAAATACATGACTATCAGCGGGCGCGAAGACGAGGCATGGGTGCCTTTTCTTCGAAGAGGATGTTCCTGGGCATGTACACCCATCGTTCTAGATCCTTCAGATTCAACCCCCCTTACAACCCCAACCGGAATGTTTTAAGGTGTCCATGTGAAATTCTGAAGGAGCGGTCGATGTTTTACGGCATTGGGTTTTCTTGACTTATTGTACCTGTGGTTTGGGTCGGCGGTGTTGGGCGTATGGCGAACTTATACGAAGTAACTCAATTTAGGCAGTGGCTAACAACCAAGTTGTTCTGTGGTTTGGTGCCATTACATTTGCTGATCTCAGACGGTTCATATATTACTTTCAGGACGGTATAGTTATTGCAGAGCGTCAGTAGCGAACTAGACATATCTAGGAAGATATCGCGGTGTCACCTTTAAATGCTTCCCTTTCTGGATGTGAATGTTATGATGCTTGCCAAGGAGCTGGACAACTCCACCAGTAAACAGCGGGGAGCTGAGCTCTGGACAGGGGGTGATTCGGGGACCCCCGCTTGACGCTTCCAGGTGCTACGACTTCCTACAGGGGAGAGCTAAGGTTGTTTCAACGTCACATCCTCCCAACATTGAGAGGATCCAGCTCCATCCAACTGTTCTCTCGCGTCATCTCTTTTTACTGGGTGTTTTCCGCTGCCCAACCCGAGCTTCTACCAACCTCTTTTTACCAACAATTGCTTTCGACACGACACTTTTACGCTACTCGAATGCTAATGGCGATCGCGTTCCAGTAACTGCATCTCTATAATTATCAATTTTCAACACTCTTTGGCGCGGGCCAAAGCAGTGCCGCTCTATACCACACCGATATGCACCTCCCGACGCAGCTATCGGCGCTCCTCCTGGTCGCGCTGCCATCCGTGGTACGCGCCGTCTTCCAGGACGAGGTCGGCCACATCGACTACCATTACGAGCTCCTGGGCCTCCCCCAGCGCGAAACCACCTTCTTCCACAAGCCGAGGCGAGACGATAAGGCGAGCCTACTCTATACCCTAAGCGACGTTGGCGTGCTCGGCGCCGTCAACCCCAGCAGCGGTGCCATCCTTTGGCGACAGCTGCTCAATGGCACTATCACGGACGGCGGCGGTTTCTTGCGCGCGGGCGAAGGCCAGAACTGGCTGGCCAGCGCCTACGGCCAGTCGGTACACGCGTGGGACGCCGTAAACGGGAGGAACAAGTTCTGGATGGACTTTGCGGGAGAGGTCAAGGACCTGGAGATCATGGAGATGACGGAAAATAACAGGAAGGATATTCTGGCTTTGTTCGACGAGAACGAGTCGACTGTGCTCAGGAGGCTGAGTGGCAATGATGGAAGAGTCGTGTGGGAGTTTAAGGAGACCTCCGGTGACGTGCCCCTTCAGGTCAGCACCAACGTGGAGAAGGTCTTCGTCATCAGTCTTCGCGGATCTGCCGGCGCTTATAACATCAAGGTCACCGTCCTCGATGCCCTCAGCGGAAAGCGCGAGGACGAGCTGGTGATTGGAACCAAGGCGGATGTGCACGACAAGGACGATGTCATTCTCGTCGGTGCCAACTCCGCGGCTCCTATTATTGCGTGGACGGACGACGTCCGCCAAAAGCTACGCGTCAGTGTTCTTGGGCAAAAGACGCGCCAAGAATTCCCCCTGCCCGCCGACACTGTCTCTGTCGAGATCCATGCTCCCCATCTTGTCCAGCCTCAGCCGCATTTCCTGGTGCACAGCAAGACCTCTACCGGTCATACCGCGGAGGTGTACCACGTTGACCTCAGGACGAACGTCATCACTAAGGCTTATCAACTCCCCTTTACATCTGGACCCGGCGCTTTCTCTACCAGCTCTAACGGTGCAAATGTTTACTTTACCCGTATCACTGACAAGGAGTTGGTCATTTTCTCGTCTGCCTCGGACACTGTGCTTGGGCGCTGGCCTCTGAAGACTTCCGAAACCAGACTGGTTGCCATTCATGGAGTCTCTGAGGTTGTGAAGAAGGCCGGCACCGATAGTTATGCCGTTAGGTCGGCCGCTGTCACCGATACTGACGAGTGGATCCTTATTCGCAACGGAGACGTCGCCTGGTCTCGTCCTGAAGGCTTGACTGGAGCTGTTGCGGCCACTTTCGTGGAGATTCCCGAGAGTGAAAACCTCGCCAAGACTCTGGAACAGGAGGCTCACAGCAACCCTCTCGAGGCTTACATCCATCGCGTTAAGCGTCATCTGGAAGACCTCCAGTATCTGCCTGCATACCTCAACAATATTCCTGCCCGCCTGATGAGCAGTGTTCTTGGCACGGAGGTCTCTACCCACGATGGTAAGCTTGCCCGTGACAGCTTTGGTTTCAATAAGCTCGTTGTTTTGGCTACGAGGCGCGGTATGATCTACGTCCTTGACGCCGGTAACCACGGCAAGATCCTGGCTAGCAAGAGGGTCTTTGACCTGCCCAAGGGCCAGAAGTGGGCTGCTGCTGGAATCAAGGCGGATGACTCCACTGGCATTGTCACTATCCTTGGAACCAACAACGATGAGACGATTGTCAAGATTCTCCCGGGTACCTCGTTCAACATGGAGGTGTTTAGCAAGGGACCGGAGGGATCTCCTGCGACCCAGAGCGCTGCTCTTCTCAACACCGTTTCTGGACCTCGTCTCTTCCCCGTTGGTTTGGACGGTGAGCTCCAGGGTTTGACCTCCGACGTTCTCCCCAACCAGGTTGCTGTTGTCCGCGGCTCCGATAGAGAGTTGAAGGGCATCGCGATTGCCGACGGAAAGCAAACCGTCTCTTGGACTTTCTTGTTGCCCAAGTCACAGAGAATTGTCGACGTTGCTACCAGACCCTCTCACGACGCCGTTGCCTCCATTGGTCGCGTCCTCGGTGACCGCACTGTGAAGTACAAGTACCTTAACCCTAACACCCTTGTCGTTGCCGCGGTCGATGAGAGCACCAAGGTTCCGTCTCTCGTTATCTATCTGCTTGACACTGTTTCCGGACAGATCTTGGCGTCCTCCAAGTACGAGGGTGTTGACCCCAAGAAGCACATCGAGTGTGCCATGGCGGAGAACTGGTTCACTTGCACCTACTTTGGCCAGTACCGCCTCAGAGACGGCGCCCAGTCCCTCAAGGGATATCAGATCGTCGTCTCCGACCTTTACGAGACGGATAAGCCCAACGACAGAGGTGTCCTCGGTGATGCCGAGAACTTCTCCTCTCTTGGACCCATCGATGCTCCGGGTGACGTCCCTCTGCCCTCGGTCGTCTCCCAAACCTTCATTCTCAGCGCCCCCATCTCCGCGTTGGAGGTCACGCAAACTAGGCAGGGTATCACCTCTCGCCAGGTGCTGGCTTACCTCCCCGAGACCCACGGTATCGCCGGTATCCCGCGCATGGTCCTCGAGCCCCGCCGCCCTGTCGGCCGCGACCCTACCGCCGCCGAGGCCGAGGAGGGCTTGATCAAGTACCACCCTGCTATTGAGATTGACCCCAAGAGCGTCCACACTCATCAGAGGGACGTGATTGGCGTGCAGAAGATCATTGCGGCGCCGGCGGTTGTGGAGAGCACCAGCTTGGTGTTTGCTTATGGCATCGATGTGTTTGGGTCGAGAGTGGCGCCGAGCTTCTTGTTCGATATTCTCGGCAAGGGCTTCAATAAGGTCACTCTTATTGGAACTGTGTTGGCTATTACGGCTGGTGTGATGGTGTTGAGCCCAATGGTAAGTGCAAAACTGTGATTACTTGTGAAGCAAACATGGACTGACAGGTTTTCTTTTCAGGTTCGGAAAAAGCAAATCAACGCACTTTGGGGTGCTCCGATGTAAAACTAGAGTCTCAGGTTGGTGTATGGCTCCCACTCAAAGGGGGAGTGCATGGGTTGTATAGAAGGATTACACATGAATATGGAACAGGAACGTTTTAATGACATGAAAATAAATCAATGCTTACCTTTTTTCCTCGACGCCGAGCCAGCAAGTTCAGAACACTCAAATACCACATGCTCAGGACAACGAACTGACCTTCCCCACAACAATGTCTAGAAGAAGTCTCGAAACCCCAATGGCCACGCAGAAGATCTACGCGACGCTCTTCAGTCCGTTGTGGGGAGAAGTATCTTTAATTGGATCATAGCAGTCCCTTCAAGTTCTTCTTCGCTCTTTCGGCGGCTGTTTGTCAAATTATCACTGTCATCTTTTGGGAGGTCTTCATCATTCTTGCTCTATTACCACAACCACCATAACCTGACCATGCCAGTCCGCTCCTTCCTTGCCACATCCTTCAAACTTGGCCACTCCTCCCCATACGAAAATTTCCATACCATATCAGCTATCACTTGTTCTCCAGATTTCGTCTGCACCTGCCAGAGACTGTCACGTCCTGTGAGTGATAAGGATCTCCCTCAGACAGAAAACTCAATGACGGCAGTCACTCAGTCACCTAGGAATCCTTGTCGGTTGATTCGCTGCTTCCCTTCTGCTGTAGAGCGCGAAGCGCGGCCTCACGGCTTGTGATTAGACACCACCTGGCTCATCTGTCACACCGCACCATGGTCACCCATCCATCATCTACAACATCTCGACGCGGCTTAATAGCCTCTCATCCACTTCTCTTGATCCCGCCTGCTTACCCGCCCGGTCCGCATTGCTTACATCTACTCTCTCATTCAGCAACAGACGAGCCTCGTCATCTCTTGCGGCCTCTCGACTCTCTCACCGCCCAGCTAGGCGTAAAGTACTGGCGTTCTTGATTGCCACCGTGAGTCCTCTTCGAAGCACGGTACCCTTCTTTATCGTATCACATTGATCCCTTAGTGTTCCTCTTCTTCCTATGCTCAGCTCTCGTCAACGCATTACAGTCATCCGTTGGGAATCTTCATGACTCCATGAAGCTTCGCTCTATCACTTTGGAACCATCACAACCTGGCCATGCCAGTCCGCTCCTTCCTTGCCACACCCATCAATATCGGCCGCTCCTTCCCATACAAAACTCTTTCCCATACCATATTAGCCACCAATTATCTTGACCTTCGCTACTGCCAGCAATTCTCAGGTCCAGTAACAAGGATCTCCCTCAGGCATATGTTTCAGAAACGGCAGCCCCACAGCCACTTGATGCCTTCCTGGTTCCCGTCATTCACACCTTCTATGCCAATGCGGGACGCAAAGCGCGGCATAGACCGTCTCCAACTCGGCCGGGATTGATCTCCAAGAGACCCGTGCCTGCCAAACACGCGGGATTCGACGCGCATACCAGGCAGTTTTCAGAGTGCGGAGGCAGATGTTCCTGCTTATTTCTGTGTCGCACCTTCCTATACGCTGTGTGACGAGATGACCTACTATGAGTGATTTGACCACTCATGGATAGTACGGCACACTGCTCTCGATTCTCCTCATCCACAGCATCTCGACTCAGTTCTCGACA